CAGCATTAAATATTCCGTTTGAGTATCGACTCGTTATTTTGGCTCGGGGTTTTATGACCGAAAGAAAACTAAACTCACTACTTCATCCCGACTCTTGGAAGAGAGAGAGAGTTAAAGTTGTTTTGTATTTTACGAGCTTCGCATCCCTCTTTTTTGTAGCTGTCAGAATACAAATGCCATCTTTGCCCGGACCATGGCCAAAATCGGAGGCACACTAACAAACAAACTATGAACGCACAGCTTCCTTCTTAAATAAGGAAAGAAGAGTACACGATTCAGATTGAGTCTCGGCCAAGAACTTTCTCTCTCTCTCTCTTCTAAAACGAAAAGTCCATAACACAGATTGCCAAAGTTAACGATGTTTCGTCAGGGCAAAAAAGAAGTGGCCAGATTTCTCGAGGAAGTATGTATGTACATAGCACAAAATTATGTCGGGTGAAAGTTTAACCTCCAAAGTCGTCATATTATTCAGTTATCTAACTGGCTGCGTATGTATGTGTAAAATTTATTTTTTCTTACTAAAAATAGTCACGATCTGTTCCGAACTAATCGTCTTACTTAATGACGCCTTGATTGCGCCAGGACGTGGCGAATCGTCTCAACATTGTTTGTCACGGGTCCTAATCCAATAATCTCAAAAAATAATCTGGGATCAGATCTTGAACTTTCTCTCCTCGCCGGAAGTCAACACGGTCCAAGTTGGGTTGCGCGTGGTGGTGGGAGAAAGTCCATATTGCACTTTGCCCGGTTGTTTTGGGAGAAAGGCATCGCCTTACGAATTCCAGCCACGAACGATCCGCTACATTACGAGAGGACGACGACTTGGCTTGACATTTGTGCCCTCTGAATTTTGGGTTGAAATCACCCCGACCAAGAGAACAAATGAACCTATGACACCAACCAACCACCACTTGAGTCCGTAGATAAATAGGCAATGCTACCATGTCGTTCTCAAGAATTCAGCAGGGACATAAAATCTGACTAGTTTTCACACAATGCAACACAATTTTAGTCACATTTCAAATTCAAATTAAAGTGCGTGCGTACAAGTTTCTCTTCAGAGGATAAAATAATTATTATCTTGCATAATTCTGCGAACCCACGTGTCCATAATTTTCTTAGGAATGTACATACTTTTGAAACTAAATAGTTCCCAGTTTCCCCGTAAAGTTTGAAAGTGAAATTCAGATAAAATTTTCTCCCAGGAATTTTTACCAAGTACCTAAAATACAAATCCTTATTTTATGCACGTTTCTTCCCCTCGATAATTTTACAGTTGAGAAAAATTTACTAGCTAAGCCGCAGATAACGAATGTAATTCTGTTTTAGGAGAGGAAACTCAAGTAGTACTTGCACAATAGAGAATCGTCTCTGTTAAATGGACATGCACGTGGCCACTTATCTCATCCGAGAAGGAGCACTTCTCGTCACAAGTGGTCCATTCTGCCCGTGAATGTGCATGCATGCATACATACGTATGGAGCCAGTGGTGGTGGTGGTGGTGGTGGTGCCCAATAAACAAGACCCATTTTCAAGGGATGACCTTAATTCCCATAAAAGTTGACATTTGATGGCCCATTCTGGAATTGTAGAGTAAAACAACAACTCTGGTCGACTAGTCTCACTCCGGATTTCTTTAGTCTCTCGTTTATTGGGGGAATGGGGTCGTCAAGAGAAAAGGGAAGTAAATTCATGGCTACGACAATTCTTCTCGTATGTAGATGTACATACACGAAGTGGAAGATGCTTACCGCCATATGCAAAAACGATAAGATAAACATTGCCGAGCAGAGAAAGACGACAAAATGCAGATGGATGCAGTCTGAATAAAACAGTGGTCCACACACTTGAGAAAAACTTGCCCAGAAAGTAAAGTATGTACATTGTTTAGGATTTTGTAGAAGTGAAAGTCGCAAAAAAAAGTTGTACATCAGTCGCAAAAAATATGTATGTATCTACAGATTCTATTTCTACCTAAAAAGATGTGGCCGAACAAAACGCAACTTTCCCTTTTTTCTGCCACATTTCTTCACAGGTATCATTATTTGTTGGCTAAGTACACGTGTGTGTAGTTTATCTCCTCGAATTGACTAGACTTATCTTTCCCAGCTTATTTTGAGCCGGAGAAGAGAAAGCAACTTGTAAAATCCAATCCGTTTGAAATGAGCTCACTATTTTGCTCCACGAAGTGAAAGTGGAGAAGATAAATTTATTTATTTGTGTGCAAAAGCAGTCCGACTGAACAGGAAAGCTGATGCTCCTCTTGGAAATAAAGTAAATAAGAAAACAAACAAAATGCCACAATTTCTCTGAATTTAGAAGACCAACTTTTATAAAATTATTATTATTTTGACAAAAATAACTTTACAATTTCTTTCAAAAGTCAGACACTATAGAATGAAGTCTCATCCCTTTAAAAAATCCCTATATTTAAGAACCCCACCACAAGAATTACTCTTTCTTAAAGAACTTTCCCGAATTCTTGCGATTTTCAAACCAGAAAGCAAAAGTAAACGAAATTCGCGAAATCCTAGCCTATGCTGCCTCCAAATATAAGTAAGTTTTGCACAATTTGCAACGATTTTCTGTATGCAGTGACAGTTTTATTTAACGAGTTTCTCTCCTTAAGCCTATTTCTCATGGTGGAGAAAGCAAGAGGAGAGAAAAATTCTGATTTTATACAGTTACGTAAAAACTTAGCAGTTATATCTTGTCGGATTGGATAAAATAAAATGGTCTCTCTCTCTTTTGTGGAAATGAAATTCATACCAACTTTTACTCTCTTCTTATTCTTTACAAATACTTATTTTAGACCGGACCACTTTTCACGACTAAATCTGCTCCCTGCTTCTTCCTTCCTTATCTCAACTACTTATTTATTATTACCCCAACAGCACCACCACCACCTAATAATGCCAGTGATACGATTTTAGTGACAAAAATTTGCATACATTTATTCCCTGTGCAAATATTCTCTAAAAAAACTCGCATAATAAAAGACCCCACATAATATGTACCTTGTAACAACAAGTGATTTATTATGGAGTAAGAAAGAAGGAGGGAGTTTGAGAAAAATACACTATGCTAAAAATTTGCATGTTTCCCCCACCACAAAACGCTCGACTTTGTCACTACTTGACTTTCTCTGGGTGAGAGTCTTAAGCTAAAACCTTGTCGAGTCGTCGTCCTACCCGGTTTTTGAGGGCAATGTCTCCCTTCTTCTTTTACTAATGACATCACCACCACCATTACGGACTAAAGACCTACTGGCTCCATTTCACTCGGGTTCCTCTCTCTCCTTTCTTCGTGGGAGTTGTGGTGTGGGCACAGTGAGAAGAAAGAGACGTTTGTGTACTGCTTGGCATAATATAATATTAGGTCACCCTCCTCCTAAAATAGTTAGTGTAAACCCTGAGTGGAGCAATATTTCAGAATCATAGAGGATTCTTCCTTGGTTGCTTGGTTGGTCTCTCTCTCTCGTTCCTGTCACCGTCAAGTAAATCCGGGATGGATCACCTCTCCACAATTTACGACTTTCTCCCTCTCCTTCGTCCACGTCCAAAGCTAAACTGTGGGACCCATTTTTGCCCTTTTTTTCTTCCTACTACTACCAGACTGAGCCACATATAGACTAGGTTAGCAGTTGCGTTTTCCTACCCAAATTGCTTTTTAAGGGACACTCGACTTAAGAAAAAGTGAGTGTAGGAAAAGTTGTGATGTGTTCACTTGTGCCTACATACGAACGAACTCACCCCATTTTCTTTGCTTTAGTCGTGGTGGTGGGGCTGCATTTTTTACGTATTTGCAAACAGGTCGACCTTGAATGGAGAAGAGTAAGGGTGAAAGTTTTATTCTTCTTTTTTTGCGGGGAAAGTTTGAGAGAGGGGATCGAGAGTTATTTATTGTTTTGGTTTGGTCAAATCGACCCACCGACATTGACTTCTGACCAGTTATAAATCCGTTTTGATTACAAGTTCAGAACAAGTCCGATTGAAAACGGACTTGTGCTACGATTTGAGGTTAGCCCAACCATATTTTTATTCAGGTCGCGGTGTCAGACAAAGTTTGGAAAAAGTTGAAGGAGGATCGTTGCTCGATCGGATTTAATACTTTTGAAAATCAATCATTGAATTGAACTCGTCTCTTCGTCAGGATTATCCAAATCCAGGCCAGCTTTCGGTCCATGTCTCATTCTTCACTTGCGAGTCTGCTTCCAACTTTTTCTGAATGTGGAATTAAGTAAAGTGACGACTTTGTGTGTATCAAGGAGAGATCAATAATATTCCTTTTGTGGTCTGGTCTGGTTTTCGTTTTTCTCTAGGTTTTGCCAATTTTGGTTGCGAGAATTTTGGCAAACCTATCGTAATAAGAAGTTGTTCTTGAAGGAGGAGGAGGGATTAATTTTGCGAAGATTTTGCGGTACTGATACTGTCTTGAGTTTGACCTTCAACTTTTATTTAGAGGTTTAAGTGGTCGAGAGAATTATTTGGGTTTTACGAGTACTTTAGCGTCTGTACCGCGGCAGACTGCGAATCTATAGTAGGATTCCACTAGTAGGAATCGGGACACTGTAAGATTAAAACATTCCATAAATCATGCCGGAAGAATTGCGGTGGGAGTGGGAATAATGGGAGAAAGCGCATTAAATTCCTGTATCTAACGCAGTACTTGTGCCCCATATTATTATGTATATCATTATCTGTCCGTGTCCAACTTGGTGTTAAGCGTTTGAAGGTATCACGCCATATTAAGCATACTTTCATAACCTAAAACCACATCGGAGCCTATGTCTGCGTGAATAGAATCCGTCCGTCTGAGGCCAAGGCTGGTCTCTGGTAGTTGTTACGAAATTCGCGAACCACACCAGGAACCACCACACCCTTCCCTTTGGCACAGCAATTCCATTCCATTTCTTGTTACGGAATGAAATAAATTGCAATTTTTTGTTGTTACAAGAATTTACGACTTAATTTATTAAATCTTTTATTTCTCGGTTTCAGGATTGGTCCGGCACGTTCAATGTGGTCAAGTCGTCGAGCCGTCGTCGTCCACCCCTGGTCCGCACATCGATCCCAACAATACGCCACCGTTTTATCACCCGACCGGAATCGGGGCTGGGTACGGACAACAATACGCGTCCTTTGAAGAATTGCAAAAACTTGTGGAAAATCCGTTCGAGAATAATACCGCCGTGAACTTGACGGTCCCATTGGGCGACACGGCCTACCTCCGCTGCAAAGTTAGGAATCTCGGAGAACGCACGGTAATCAGTTTCCTTATTTTTTTTGTGAGTTTGAATGGAATAATTATTTATGGGGGAAGTTTCTGAGTCTTGAGGACGATGGTGACATGATTGTTAACGGACATGATGGCCGACGGTGTGTGTAGTTTGCTGAGAGGATGTGCAAAAAAAGAGATCGAGGTTGGGTTCAGTGGCTGCGGAAGAAGTGGGGACATTTGGGGACGTTAATATTGTAGGATAGGGGAGGAAGGGGATTTTATAACATGGCAAGATTGTGGGGACATCGAACAACCGTGGGGACATTGTTCCTCCGTCCGCGGCCACTGGTCGGGTTGAGAAATTCTGGACGGGTGAATTGTGCTTATGTAATCGAGCGGAAAGTGCATCCTAATGCAATCTCATTACTTCCATTACTCTTGGACAATTTGGGTCATCCGTGAGAACTAGTCATGTGCTAATAATGGTTGGTGGGTTGGGTTGTGCAGGAAGAAGGAGACAATTTTATGTAATGTAATGTGCGAATTTTGAGCATCGCCATAATGGCGAGTATACTATTCATCATGACCGTAACTATGTGTTTGTGCATATATTATATTACCTGTGTGCTCATGATGGCAATAGTCTGGATAATGTGAGCCCATTCAGGACAAGGACGAACTGCAGGATGTCGAGTGAATTTTATTTTCATGTAGTAAATCTAAAGTGTGAAGAGAGGATGTAGTACGGTAGGTTATGATGCATGGCTATGAACGAGGGTACAGAACAAGCTGTAAATTGTATCGTTCACGAATTAAATTAAATTTTACAATGCTATAAACTAACAATGGAGATCTCCCAGCGCTTGTTTCTCAAATGTTGACCAACTTAAAGTGATTCGATCACAAACTTAATTAATTTGAAATTTGTAAACGATACGATCTGTCAATGCTCACGTTGGGCGGAGATATTTGCATCCTAAGAGGAGAAAACGCGCCCAAAAGTTGACAAATTTTACATGCACTTTCCAGATTTAATGCGCGTTTGATTATCTTCGGGGGAAAATCCCTATACAAAATTACAATTGCTTGGTAATCTTGGATATGTATCTATTTGGTCTAAAGCATTACAATTTCTGCACAAAATCTTATTTGACGTCAAACAATCCCAGATTTTTTTGTAAATTATTTTAAAATCTTATCCAAATATTTGCCACGTTCTTTCTTTAAAATCATAACTTAAATAAAGCAAAATCAAAATCCTAGTTAAGTATTTTACCTGAATCCAGATCATTACGAATATTATGAGATTTCTGCGTACTTGTTAATACTCCCCAAAAAGGCAGTGATATTATCATCCCCTGTAACTTGTCAACGCAAGTGCATATAAATATACATACGTAGACCACGTTGGGAATGAGGTTACTTGTTGTTACTGCATGGATGACTACACAACAAAATTATTCAGCACGATAACATTTCCTTCCAGGACTTACTAATTTCGTATGCGCATCCCGCACATATCATGACACGACTACTGCATGTCACTCACTCGTGCAAATTAATTAATCCCCAATTCTCATACCAGGTTAATAAATTAACATGACATCCCAGCAGCAGAGTGACCTGACCTAGTGCTGCATACATAATACACATGTTCATTACGCTCTTGTGTGCTTTACTCCGCCAGACAGTGGATTGGATGCATGTAAACTCCTGTTTTGTTCATTTGTTATTGTAGCGCAGAAATAATTCTGATTCTGATTCGAAGCAAAATTATGCATGATGATGATAACACACTTTTAGCACTGGTGGCTTTTAGTTTAGTAGTAATAAGAGTGAAGGGTGACTTGGTTTGGGTGAGTGTTGTAGCACGTCGGTGAGACTCGTGGGATTTCATGTATTTTGATGATGAGAAGTTATTCAAAAGCATTATGCAATGTGCATGCATACACATACATCGTTTCATTTCTGGTTTTTCATTAAGTTCTCTGTCAGTTTTTGTAAAGTCGAATTATTTCATTTTATTTTGCAAAATTATATTTGCAAATTATGACACAATCTATGAGACAACTGATCTCCTACAATTGTTGTTACTTTTATGCGTCTGAATTAATACACGTCATCACTGATCACATAATTTTACAATATTGCAAAAATAAATATAAACCGCGACCTCAATTTTACTATTCAGATCTTATTCCGTTTCGTCTCGTCTTCGAATCATCTCCTCCTCCTCCTCTTTATTTTGTTCCATCTTCATTACTTATTATTTATAGAAGAAGTACAGACGAGAAGAAATAAAACAGGAAACGTTTCCATCAGGTTTTTCCTCTCTCTCTCTCTTATTTTTATTTCTTCTTGATTCCTCCTCCAATAAATCTGAGATCAGTTTCAGTCCCACTTTCTCCAGATGAAGGGAAGATGAACATAAGACAATAAAAGTAACAAATACTTCCATTTACATAAAGAAAACCAAACCCAACTGAAGCAAACCACAGGAACGGGATAGAATTTCCATTGAGACTAGTCCACGAAAATCTCATTCTCCTCTCTTCGTATTCCATTTCCTTTGAAGAAGTAGAAGATACTTGCTTTCTCGTCCTCGTCCAAACGACGAGTGTAGCGAAAGACTCTGGAGAAATTACCGGTACAAACAAGAACATTATTCTGCTTGCGAATGGGATGCAGAGGGGCCTTCAAGTCGCTTCTTATCTGCTCCTCACTGTGGTTTAGACTATATTCAAAAGGCTGCAAAAACTGTATGGCAAGTGCGGATTGGATCTTGATTACTTTCTCCGCTGGAAGGAAAACAGATGCAAATGCGATTCCTCATTTTGTAACGGTGTATAACAGACATACGAAAGCTAGGACTATATTTATTTAGTACAGGATGGTCTCGATTTTGGGTAGTTCTTTTGCTAAACACGTGACAAATTAGCTCGTCCCTTGGTGGTGGTCTGGTCTGGTCAAACTTTACGCAGTAATTTTTTTGTCGTCTAAAATTCTTGCCCACTCACGCACAATTTAAGACTGGGAGAAAGTGCCAAAATATGTTTTTGAAAGCTGGACCCCCTAAAGTCAAGTTTGACCTAGGCTTAGAAGAACTGCACGAGGACAAAGTGGAGTGAAGCAACATCATCCATCTCTCCCCCAGAGAGGAAGCGGCGCAACGTCTTTCTCGTGTTTTATCTTCCATGCGACAAAAAACAAATCGGATGTTCTTGAGCGTATCAAGGAAATATAATGGTTTTGCTGGGAGAAGGAGAGGAAACTGGTGGGTTCCGTTGTCTTTTGGCTCCTCTGCTCCTCCTGAAAGACAATACAATTTACTTTTGCTTTATACATCATCGTGCGAGTTGCGGAGAAAAGGGAAAAGTCAGCACAAAAAATTAGAGCGAAACGCTCCACCAAGAAATGAAGCAAAGTTAAAGAAAACTGATTGATTAATGTGTTTCGCGAAAGAATCGATGGTGGATGTGCGAAGAAAGAAAGAAGGAGAAATATATATGTATTTTTAGCCTTGTTTTATGTAGAACACGTTGTAAAATTAATTCTATTTTTTTGGCCTACAGATTTCGTGGGTGCGACGGAGAGACTGGCACATTTTGACGAGTGGGGTCACAACCTATACGAATGATGAGAGATTCAACAGTCTTCACGTGGATGGGACGGATGACTGGACGTTGCAGATAAAATTTTTGCAGAAGCGTGATAATGGGTAAGATTACAAAATATGTAGATCGAAGATTAGTTATTTGAAAGAAAACTAATTTGTGTATGTTTCTAATTTTTCAACTACTAGGACTTACGAATGCCAGGTGAGTTCAATTAAATCATTATTTTACTCGTGTCTAATCGGAGAAAATTTTGTTAGAAATTTCTGACAATTTTTTGGCATGTTATACTGGGCACACTTTCACTCTCACTAATTTTTCATCAGATTGAATAGGGAGAAAGTATAGCGAGATCTTATTAGGATTAGCGTGGGCATATAATTACATGGTACTTAATAACCCAGTAGCCCCGGAGTAGTCCTTCTGCCCATGATGGACATCATAATTGTGCAACTGCAGCGAGGTGAAACTTATCCCGGATAATTTCAGCCTATTCTACAATAAAGTTGTCACATTATGACATTATGAATTGGTCATTGGTCTCCGTAATGGTAGTGCAATCCAAGCTACGCATTAATGTGCAGACGCACACACAACCTCTCTTTCAAGAAAGGGTAAGTCTTCAGGTTGGGAAGGAATGGGTTGCAATCCTCACTTTTTCTAATCTTACTGTTAGTAGGCAATCATGTCCAGGTTTAATTTCCATTAGAAGAGGAGAGAAAGCAGTTACCATGCACATGGCATTCAATCCAATGGCACATCACACACAGGCTGCCACCGCTGCTGACCAAGCCGTCGGACGGATAATAGCGCCAGCGTCATCCTTAGCACGCTTCTCGCGTACTTTCCAATGGGGCTGTAATGGCGGAATGAATCCTTATTGCAATATATTTTTTATGTGATGTGTTATCCCCACCGCCACGGCCACCGTTTTAAGAATCCTTTCGTCTCCCCCTGCCTGCAATAAGTCAGGAAGGTGAAGGTGGTGCTAATTGAAACATATTTTTCCATTAGAGTCAAACCATCGTCGTAGACACGGCCAACATTACATTTTCCTCCCCAATTTCGGTCTTCCTTCCTTCCGGGATTGCTTTTATGTCGGGAGGACTTTATAGTTGGCCGTCAAGGTTATTATTGTGGAGAGATGATCACATCACACTCTCTCATAAACGGGGAGAGTTCATACAGTTTAGGTTAAAAAATTGATATATAAAATTCTGGCCAGAGGCATTATTCCAGATTTTGATTTAGCAAATGCATCTCGTTTCATCCGAAAATTGGCTAATTTTTTCAACCCAGACCGACCCAATTTGTTTTACATGGAGCAATTTGACTCAATTATGCATCCCAAGGTTTTTCCATAATAGGTTTTAAGACTTGTTGTGCGTCACGACACGTCACTTTTACTTTGCAACCCTTTCCTTCTTTGGACCTTTCCCAGGCCTGTTTTGTGGTGTGGTGGGTGATGTGGTTTAGTCAGTTTGGTGGAGGTGAAAGTAGAACCAAACCAACTAAACCACCAACCACGACCAAAACGAGGCGAGTAGATCGCGGAGGATGGGCAGAATCGTGTATGGGAATAAATAAAGGATTTCATTAATAAACAATAAGGGGTCTGATGGAACAAGGAGTGAAGTGAATGGACCATTATAATAGCCCTGCTACCTACTACAGCACCGGTCATGGCTGTGGTTGGTGGTGTGGTTTAGTAATCTGTGGAGTGGACTTGGTCCGACTTCAAAATGAGAAAATCTGCTCCTTCCTTCTGCTTGGGCGAGAAAAAGTAAGAAGAGGAAGAACAAGATCGGGATTTTATCCGCTTCTTCTTTTTTGGAGGCCATTTCATAAATCCTTATTATCTATTAACCAACCTGGCTTAAGGGATTGGAGACTGACCCCTTTTCCGCCCTGCCGTTCGGTCGGGATGATGAGGAAATTCTGGACGAGATAGATTGACCCCGATTTGCGATGGACTTTACTTTACACCGTGTCCGACAGTCAGGGTGAACTTTGAAAGTGGAATATTCAATATTTCTTATGTAGAGTTGTGGGATTAAGAGGAAAATGGGGGACGTTTTCTTCTTCAACAAGTTTTTACTTCCTCGCTCTTTTTTTACATACTAATTTTGTAGGTTTCGAACTACTCTGTATGTACGAATGTCCGTCATGCAGATGGATGCTTACACCCTTACGTATGTACATACAATCCCTTTATGTCAGTGTCAATAACAATAACAGAAATTGAACTAATGGGCAATAAACGTTCTTCTTCTCGACGTCTAGTGCACTTTCCCCTCCTCTTTTCGCCCACAGAGAAACTTTCCCTATCTCAAAATTAGAATGGAAATTGAGTAAAAGTTTCCCGAAAACGGGTAGAATTCCAGTCTCATTCCGTCGTCGTCGTCCTGGGATGTTGGCCGACTGGTTGATGATATGATCCTCAAGTTCTCTGATGATGACGAGGGTTGTAGAAGTAGAAGTAATTTTAGAATCACACCACGACCACGCCACGAACGTATCAATTCCCCAAACTGTTCTGCCTCCTAGATAAGTACGCACCACTACATAATCCGTCCGTCCTCCCCCTCGCATCACATCTCGGCCTGTGGTTTCCTTTCGTTTGGTCGGTTAACTTTTGACTCTTAGTTTTCCCAACAGTTAAAAAGGGCGTAAAGTCGTTAGCTCGGAGGGAGAAAGTACAAGTTAAACTATTCATTTGTTGGAGAGAGAGAATTCGAATAATAGGAATGGATGGGTGCATATTGTTCGAGTTGGTTAGTTAACATGGCACTTTCGCCGGCTTCTCATTAATTTTATTAGTGCCAAGGTGATTATGCAGGGTGGTGCGGTGCAACACCCGCGAGTGATCCTGAACCTGATGGAAAAGTTGCTACTATTCCATTACCTTTGCATAAGTGATGATGATTCTTGATGAATTTTATACCGGGGCTAAAATGGAATGGGTAATGATAAGTTGTTATCTAAGGAATGTTAGCTAGCCAACCAGTCAGCCGTTATTTCGTTAGTGGCTCTCTCTCTTACTTACTTATTTATTTCATTAGGGCGTGTATGCATATTGACTCTCGGGTTGGGTGGTTTGAAGGGGAGTGCTTCGTAATTTTTTGGGCTTTCCTTATTTACATTACTTTCACCCCAGGTTTGTATACTTATATGTTGTTACGGGGAAGGATGGAATTTAATGCGTAATGTTTTGTGGTGTGGTGGGTTGGGGTGTGGGTTGGGGGTGCATTTGGTAAATAAGTAGTTGGGAGATGCACTTGACTTGACTTTGTCTGTGGAAGCAGGGTTTCGGGTGAAAGTAACAACTTGCAACTTGAAATAACCGCAAGAAAGTGTTTTTTGCAGCTATTTTGACCTGCAAGAAATTCACGGCGCAAGAAACGACTTCCAGCCGCTATACTTCACAGAATGCATATTTCTTGCACTTTCTTGCACTTTCTTGTATCTCGCATTTCTTGCGTTTCTTCCTTTGTACTACAAGAAATGTAGCAAACCCGCAAGCAACGAAGCACTGTACGTAAGACAGGTTGGGTTAAGGATTCGGATTATTGGATGCACTAAATTGCATAAAATGTTCTCGTGATGATATTGCACTGCAGGTAGTTTGAGAAAATGAGGAGAAGACACATTCAGCCAATTTAGCACCTCCACTCCACCCTACATTAAACTGGAGGAACGAATTTATTATGCAATGCAACGTTTTATTACTTTTCCCTTGCACTACCAAATGGTGTCGTTGGTCGTTAAATTTCGAGATAAATTGTGATAGCAATGTGACGATGTATTTTATTTTATTTTATGGGCCACCACCACCCCGAGCTTCTTAATCATATTACGTAACAAATGTGTCTCCTTCAGGTATCAACTGGGACTGGGATCGTGTCATATTTAGTCCACCTGCACATCGCCGTTCCCGAGTCCTTCATCCTGGGAAATGGAGAGTACCACATCGAACAAGGAAGCACCATAAATCTTGTCTGTGTGATTGAAAAGGTACGATTTCGGTGTAATTATTGACCGGAAAATGATTTATTTATTACTACTTTTGCAGAGTCCAAAGCCTCCAGAGTACATTTTTTGGTACCACAATGACCGCATGATCAACTACGGCAACTCGAGAGAGGTTACTGTTCAGACGGAACCAGGAAGCAAGACCCAGTCGCGTCTCACTATCAGAAACGCACAATTAAGCGATACAGGCAATTACAGGTAATTACAGGAGGAGAAAGTGGATGAATTTGTTGCCAAATTTTGTCATTAATTTTTAAAAATCAATCTTACTTTAGCTGTACCACGCCCCACGCCGTACCAGCTTCCACACTTGTCTACGTATCTCAAGGTACATACACCTACTTTTTTTTACAAATTAATTATCTTAAAGATGAGCTCCAAAATCAAACCGTCTTGTTTTCCAGGCGACCAAATCGCGGCGATTCAGAAGCGAAAAGCGGCCGCAGATTCGGCCGCGGCAGCCTCGTCGGCCTCCGCATCTGCATCCGCTTCCACGACCTCGACGGCCACAGCTTATCAAGCGAACCACCCCTTCACCTCCCTCCTCGTGCTTAGCAGCATCACCCTGTTTTGTAATTATGCCACAAATTTGAGATCATATTTTGCCGTGCCTCTTATCCTCTCCATTTCCACGCAACAACAAAACGTACAACAGCACGGAGACCAGGCACGAGTGACACTTTGATCCCGAAAAGATCTCGGGTGAAAGTGAAAGCTTTTGTAAATTCACATTGTACAAGGAAACCAATTTGAATGATGCAAGGGGGCACTATTTTTATACCCAACAATCTTCCTCCAATACATTTCTACTACAAGTTGGTCCAAGATTTTTGATAAATCAGGTACATAAATTCTGAATTTGGACAAATATACAAAAATTTGAAATTTTGTAACCAGAAATTTTGTTTCTTTTACAGGTCAAGTAATAAAACTAAGAACCACCCTCATCGTGTCACTATTGTTACCTACTTGCATAACAATTTATTAAGTAATGCTTAAATAAATTAGTAATTTTAATTATCAAAATGTATCATAAAATTATATCATCTGCAATCTGCATGCATCTCATTTCGTAAGGCGTACACACTCAATGTTCAGTATATCAAAGAAATATTTGTATATATTCAAAAAAAAATTATCCAAGAAGTCAACTGTGATATTAATGATAAGAATTATGGTAATTAATTATTTAAGTACGATTATGCGATACAGTTAATTTTGAATTTAGTGATTTAATACAAAACAATTGTTTAATTCAGATAAGAAAATCTCAAATTTTGTGTTTCTTTTTTATGTAAAACAAAAATATGTAGGTATATTTCTTTATGTGCATTTTAACTCTTTTTAAATTTGAATATCGTCTCAACTACTTCACGTAAAATTAACAATATGTAAATATTTGTATTGATGGCTCATGATAAATACGAATGCATACCTTAATTAGTTAATCACCGTAATTAATTCGTGTATTAAATATTAAAATACATAATTACATATACATACAAATACCTGAATTGATGTCTCTAAAATTACAAAGAATGACTTAATGTTGATATACCGTTATAGTTGTAAAATTGTGTAAAAAAGTTTGTGGTATGCAAGCAGTAAAGTGCGGTACACACGGGATATGATAATTTGGAGAGCCAGTAAAAATGATAAAATTGCTACTGCATCAATTTCTGACTTTCTTCTCCTCATTGTTATTTAAGTAAGTAAGTAATTGTAAAAATAGCTCTGACCCGATATTTGTGAAGGGATGATTCAAACATAATAATAAAGTTATTATCACAACGTGACGACAAAAGCAGAAGGTCGTGTCACTTACTTGTATGCACTTTACGGCAGAATTGTCCCATCTGAGCTTCACTTTGTAGAAGAGAAAGTGCATTCCGGTCCAGACTTTCTCCGCCTCCTGAGGAAATGGTCCTTCTGTCCGGAAGGGAAGGCTCAATTGCACCGATCGCGAACCATTCAGGAAAGAGAAGTTGTCCATTAAACCAAACGGTAAATAAATGGAGGGCATGGAGAGGGGGCGTTATGTACGTCATGATTTTTATTTTATGAGTCCAAATGACAATTAAGGCAGAAATTATGGGGCGAGACGACTATGTAGCTGAGAAAAATTCCAGTTTACTTATCTGAATGAATATTGTTTTCCGATAAGACGGAATTATTAATCGATGATATGATAATGATATCCATGTCCGGGAGTGAAGGCATATATATAAATTTGGGATTATATAATGCAGTATATTCGGTTGCAGTGTTTCGTTTCTTGCAAGAAATACAAGAAATGCGAGGTGCAAGAAACTGGAAGAAAGTGAAGAAATATGTTTTCTATGAACTATTTATAGCGAGTGGAAGTAGTTTCTTGCGCCTTGGATTTTTTCAGGTAAAAATAACTGCAAGAAATCTGTTTCTTGGGGTTATTTCTTGCAAATGGTTACTTGCACCCGAAACACTGCTCAGTTGTTGAACTTGCATATAACTTGTGTTCTAGAGAAGAAAGGTCGCATGCAAATGTGTGGATGAGAAGATGCATGGACCAAATCCAAATGCATTATCGTCTTATAAATCACATGATTACATAAATTATGGTTCGTTACTATACATCAAGATTTGAATTGAAAGGAGATCACATTATTATTTATTGTCTCGTTATCATACATACATATTTGCCCTTTCAATTCTTCAGAAAGATGAGAAAGTTGCCTAATCCGTAGCTTCAAACAACTTATTTATGGGCAACAAAACCCCGAATAATTCGTCAGGTCACAAAACAGTATAAAAAAGTAAATAGGTAAAACAGTGTACAAATAGATATATTGTAGATCATATTTCATCAAGAATTAAAACTGTAACAAAAAACGTTTCGATTAAAAAAAATGTAACCAAGATAAAAAGTTATCTTAAGAGGAATCCAAATTTTGTTCTTCTCCAATCTTGAGGGGGGAGTTCTAACAAAAATTTCCTGCATGCGGTTATCACCACGCCAGAAATGACGATTAAGCCACCGGTGATGCTGTAAATTGGAAAATAAATATTATTTAGGATAAAAATTATAATATCAGAATTATACTAACGCAAAAATATTAATTTTACAAAAACTGATTTTGTCAACATATTAAAAATTGCGAATAAATTTTGAGAAAAATAATTTTACAATTTGCTACATTTTCAAGTCATTTCGTAAAATTCTTGTAAGACTGGAATATCTTAAAAATGTTGCAGGTACAATTTTTGTTGAGCAATAAAGGTTGCAATTGGCAAACTTAACAGTAATTTTATGAAAATTTACAAATTTTGCCCACCTGAATAAATCCGGTACCACGTTGAGGAAAAGGTACTGCCAAACGTATGCAAAGATCACATCGCAACTTCTCACCAAAGCCACTGGTCCAGCATCCTCCAATTGTAAGGCAAGAGTTAAAAATGTCTGTCCAACAAAATACATGAATGCAATTGTCAGGACGAGGATCCAGTCGTGCAGGCCGTGCGGTATTTCAAACGTATTCGCCACGCTGCAGAGCAGGAGAGCTTCCAAAGAGCCGATAAATCCGCAGGAGAAAGTGGTCAGAGAGAAGTGAACGGAGGCCAACATTCTGAGGACGACGAAGGTCAAGGTCCCCATCGCCATGCAGCCAAGGGCCAGCGCATTTCCGATCTATTTATTCAGCACATACGTAAATATTTGCATGAAATTGACAGAACTGAGATTTTTTTTATTGAAGTCTCACCAAAATGTCCGTGTCGAAAGACTCCTCCCCCGTGAGCATGGGCGGTCTCGAGATGATGACCACTCCAACGAGGGATATAACCCCCGTCAAAATCGGAACGATTCCCAACTTCTCGCCAAGCAAAAAATAGGCCACGAACGTGACGAAGATTGGTGTACTGAAGGAAATCACGGCCGAGTCAGAGAGGGAAAGGTACTTCAAGGAGCAGTACTGAAACAGGTCGGCAGAACAGCCAAAAACACCACGACCCTGAAATAATTAATAAACCAAAACTTTACGAAAATTTCCTACGAAAATCACAGAAGAAACAAGAAATAATTAGACTCACCACTAATAACGCCAAGATTTTCCACCTGGCAGATAACACGCCTTCAAAAGCGGTACTCTTTCCACTCCTTCCCCCAAAGTAGCCCAACAAGACGATGGATGGGAGGAGAACGCCCTGCAGTCTCCATAACACGAGGCTGAAGGCGTGATACTGCGGCATCGACTTGACCACCAGCGTCATCAGGGACATGGTCAAAGAGGTCAACAAGGCAAATATGAGCCCCAAATATTTCCCTCCTGGGAGGCGTCTCAACCGTGATTTGAGATCCTTTTCGATCCGTTTCATCTGTGGGGCAGGGTCTTGTCCGTCCTGGGCGTCGGAAGCGTCGGCTCCCGTGCCGCCACCTTTCTCGAGGCAGGAGGCCGAGATGATGGGTGTGTCCCCCTTCGAGAGGAGGTGGGGGAGGTGATGCCCAATTATTTTCGAGTGGGACAACTTCCTCATCAGCTTCGTGGGGGTGGACATTTGCAGAGAGATGGAGGACGGGCGGTGTTGGCTTAATAACTCCATTTCGTGTGTATACAAAATCTCACTTTGTAAACAAATTAGTGTAAAATTATATTTTAGGAACTTTTTGGAAGAATTTATTTCCTAAAAAACAAGTTATGCCCGCATTTTTATAGCGAAAGTTATTTATTATATTATGTTTAATCTCTGTCCCCACAATTTAACCCACCCGACCTCCGAGTAATAGTGACATGTTCTACTTTCAAAAACGTAGAGTAAACGTTTCAGAGAACTTATTAAGGGAGCAGGAGAGGAGATGCCAACCCGTCCTGAACAAAGTTGTGGAATCGACTGAATAACAGGATGGCAAGGAAGAAATATTTATTTTCTTACATTTTATGGTGGTGACTCAAGTTTATGAAATATTGGTTCACATCACACTTTACTTTGACAGTTTTAGTATTTAAAATATGCATGCATACATGGATGGATAGACGAAGTAGAATGTATGACATGACGAAATGTGGAGGATTTCCAGGTATTTTTCCACAAAGGGACGACCAACCGCGAGGATTAATCTTATCTCGCTCACAGGTAATAAGGGTCCACTCAAGGTGAGGGACTTACATATTTAGTATTCGAGACGAAGGTAGGTTTTTCCCACAAACTTGTTATTCTCTTGTGCACATGGCACTTGGGACCAGGAGACAATAAGGATCATTCATAGTGGTGATTATAAGCTGGTAAAAGGGTCCTTTACCTCGGTAAGTATTATGAGTGAGTAGCTCTCTTATGTATTATGAGACAGGAAATGTTAGTTTGCTCATCTTTGTATTTATCTCGTCCATTAATGAAATTTGGAATGTATAGATCAGCAAATAAGACCGGCTGTGTGTGTCTTCTGTTACGGAGGATTTTTTGACCTTATAGAATTTGAATCGCATCTGGGTCAGAGTGTTGACTCTGACTTAAAAAACCTTCACCTTCCCAGCTCTCCAACTTTCTTGAGACGATGACACTTTACAGATAACAAAATGAGATTATGATGAGAATGAAGTTTCTCTTCTTTGTCACTGCAATAAATAATCACCACGTTTTGTGAAGTGACCTTGACCATGATAATGACATGACACAGGCAGTTTTTAATGAATAATGGTTCGTTGAAAAAAATAATAAATGGTTCATTTAGGAGGATTAGTCTTAAATAATTGGGTGTTTGAAGGTCAAAAAGAGAAATCACTACCCAAATCAAACCCTTCGCCTGGATTGGTTAGATTTTCGGGTGTGTGTCAGTACAGATATTTTACGGTGCTTGAGAAGGGACAATATTGACAAGTATGATTATTAAGAAATTTTGAAAAAAATCATGTTTATTTGTAAGCACTTCCAAGTAAATAATTTAAGAAAAATGAATATCATCACTTGTAAATGATTGATTATTTTGACACGAAATTATTTATTGCACAAAATTTGAAACAACTTTTTTTTACATGACGCCTGAAATGCTGTTACTCCGACTCCTCGTTCTCAACTGTTCCAAAACCATCTCATCACCTCGATCTTTATTGGAATGACCTCCCACCGTGAAAACTGAGCTCCTCGTGTCCTCCATAAATTTAACGCTGGGACTTCTCCTCTCCCCCGGCGGAGGAGAATTCGGTGTCACACCAACCCCCACCAAGACAAGATTATTGACCGGGGTCAAATCCGCAATCAGTGGATACAGCAAGACACAAATAAGGGTCAAACTTGTCAGAAAGATTAAAACTAAAAATACAATGACCAGAATGTAATGATCCTCTAAAAAGTCTATCAATCCGTCCTCCCAATTGTGGTCAAAAATGTTGTTGTTGTTGTTAACTCGACCCCCACCGCTGTCAATATTGTCCCCACCAACGACACAGAATGTCCCATTTCCTTCCAACCCACCGGCCGAGATGCTTCGACAATAGCAAGGAAAGACGGACTGTCCCCTCAGATTTCCGGGAAGTCGGGCGTATTTTTCGTAAAAATTGGTACACTTTTCGTCCCTGGCATTATTTTCTCCGATTTGGGTGCAACCTTCGCCCAGGTTTTTGTAAAAGTCGTTGAAATAGAGAGGAGCTGCGGTCTGGATGGTGAGGCTGTGGCCGGGTGGGGCGTCTTTTTGCTGGATGGCGTCGAGGTGGTGGTCGTCAACGAGGAGATTGCCAGACCAGATGGATTGGAGCTCGCGTAGCGTGGCGGAAGGGGGCAAGGTGTCATTTTCTAGTCTGGTTCCGTTAAAGCAGTCACTTACAAAGAGGTCTGAAAGGAAAACATTTTAAACTGATTAAAAAAATATGGAAATATTTCAAAATTTCCGAACTTTTTTTACCCATTTCTGTCCCATTTCCTACTACCCGTGTACTATTATTCTTAAACTTGGTCCAATCCACGAAATTACAAGTTATCAATATTTGTGGGGTCATCCTCCACTTTGAATTGGGATTTTTGTGCTTAATTCCACCCGGCCAAAGCTCGATTTTTTTGCCTTTATCCCGAAACCCTTTGGTGCATTTGGCCGTCAAGATTTTTCCAAATTGTTGGTCCGCTATGACCACGTTTTTCCCGTCGAGACCGATCCCTTCACAAATCCGGGCGCAGCTCCGGTCCGGATGGGTCACTTTGACGCACAACGACTCCGAGTCGCACACGTAGGTTCCGGCTGCCTTGAAACATTTCTGGGAACTGGTGGAGGTACAATTGTAGCGGAAGTGGAAGGCATCCTGCTCCACTTGGGACATGTTGCAGGATATGAGCTTCTCAATGTGGGTGCATTCGAGGTGCGGAGATGTGAACGGGGAGGAGGATGAGTTGGTCGGTGGGGGCGATGTCGTAGTCGCAGTCGTGGTGGTGGTTTGGGTGGTTTGGGTGGTGGGGGTGAGGATGACACTGAAATTGATGAATATTTAAATGTATGAATTCTTTGACGAGGTTGTAAATTCCTTAGTTAATTACCTTGTAGTAAATGCGCTATAATTGGTGGTAACCTCGGTTTCATTACTAAGTTCTGTCGCCACCGTCGTTATCATCTTCGACGTCATTGCTATTGTCGTCGTCGTCGTCGTTATCGGCACCGGTGTTGTCGTCACCTCAAAATTGCTCTTACTTTTCTCCTTTGCCTCTACGCATTTGAATATGCCGAGTCGAAGACACGCCTCCGTATTGCCTTCCCTCGTGGAACATTTCACCTCATTGTCATCTATCTTGTCATCTTTCTCCACAAGAAATGGACACTCCGTCACGTCAATGTCCCTGCATCCCACAAAATTAAGAGAGGATCCCTCCTTGCGAACTTTTGCCCTTAATTGTCTGCACCCGAAGAGATCGACGATTTCAGAAGAGCAGAATTCCCCACAGGATGACCAAGTAAAGTGTCGTTCCGTAGCGACTTCGTCAAGGTTGGGGGCCTTATTCGTCCTGTAATAAAAAATTGCATAATCTGCATAATCATAACTGTATGTATATGCAAATATATATGTATGTACCCACCCGTCCGACCTTGACACCTTTTGTACTGATATTGTCGCAGAGTGCGAATCGTTTTCGTACAACCGCCTCGCATGATCCCACCGTTCCGGAATTGTGAAGTGGTTTCGGTTCCAAGGGAGCTCGCAGTGTTCGGGAGACACGAGCTCATCCTCCACCGTGCCACAGACGAGGCGGTACTTGGACAGGCGCCGAGCATTGTAGTGAGGGAGGTTGACATGGATGTAGGTGAACCCGATGGCCAGGAGGGACAAGAAGAGGACGATCTGACCAGTTAAGATCAGGAGACAACTGCGCCTAGAATTCTCTTGCGACCAGGCCGAGTGGATGAAGGATTTCAGAAAGGTCAACATTTCACTCTGTTACTAATTTTGCACTAATTAAATGTGACTTTGGTACAAAATTGCGAAAAAGTATGCAGGCCTACCAACCACCAGGGAAGAATTTGCACTGATTTTGCACTAATGAAATGTCCAACTTTTTATTACATGTAGTGGTGCATGGTTGGTGAAAGTCCCTGCAGTCGAACAGGCAATAAATGCATATGGCAAAGTTCATGTGCAACGCCAGACTGGCTGAGTGAAGTAGTGTGTATGTATGGCGAGTCATTAATTTAAGCGTCGTCGTCACCTTGAAATTGTTTGGTGGACTGGACCTAAAAAAGTAAGCATTATTTACCTGCATGCATTTGCAAATGTACACGGGTTGTTCTTAAAGAGGAAGAATTTCATTTAGCATGCACAATTTCCATTGACTTTCACTCCAAGATTACTCTTTTCACGCAACTCGCCAAAGGTGCTTTCTTCTAGCAGGGAGGTGGACGACATAATAATCACGCTGGACAGATCGGTTTGTTGCTCATATCACGTTAAGGAACATACGTACGACGTATCTACATGTGCATGTTGTTGACCGACTTTGTTGGCTTGGATTGCGAGTAGGTATACGTAATTGTAGGTCATTTCCGCTGTTTTCGACCACAAGTCTCGTATCGAGTTCAGATCTAAATTAGCCTCAGAAATCCAGCAGGAATATGGAAGACGATTGCATTACGTGTTATTGTTCAACTTCCGTATTGTTGTTGAAGCCATGCAACGTTTCATAACTAATGATGTTACTTCAAGTAGAATAAAGTATGAAGATGCGCACATTTTATTTTTATCGGAAATTTTCTAGATAAAATATTCCGCACTAAAAAGTGGGGTGGGCGAAAGATGGTGAAAGTTGAGTCAATACTACCTTTATTAGCTTCTCTTTCTCTCCTTAAATATATCCATCTCCTCAAATACTACATAATTTATCGGTGTGTTGGATTTGCATGATTTTCGCAGTATTGCCAATTTCTTCATTTGTTGCACTCCACATTTGTTCACTCATTATAATGAAATGAGTCGTGTTTTTTGTATTTTATGGCTAAAAATTATGTTGATCACTAATTTATTTTTATTGGTCAATCGCAATACAATACATTTTTACAGCTTAGGAATGAGTACGTACTGAAGTATGTACAACAATAAGCTTGCACCAATTATAAACAATAATATTTTCATAGATATTTTTCATGTGAGATTTGAAAAGGCAAGGCCTATGGTTTGTTTGTTAAAATCAGCATTTTAAGCGATTTATTCATGTATTGATCGTTGATTTGCCAGTCTCTCTCTGTTAAAATTTCACTTTTCGTTTACACATTTATGACAACTTTTTAAAAACTAGTTACTCATTTGCCTCACAATTTTCTAGCAGCACTGAAGAGCTTATCAAGTAGTAAAATTTAGTATGATGATTTCATTATTAATTGGACTACTCACTCATTTTTTCATTTTTCGTTAATTCTACTTATTTAAGGTCTCTGTTTGATATGGTTTGTTTCATTTTTCCAATTAGTATTTTCGTTGGGCAGTTGATTTGATATGTTAACTTTGGGCACCTATATATTTTTCATGCATACGTTACATACGAGGACTGACTAGTGAAATGACAGATGTTTGACAGATGTTTGACAGATTTTGATATGTTGATTTTTGAGACACTTTGATTCCATTTACGTTTTTAGTTGCATTTTTAGATAATATTCATGTAATCTAAGATTACTGATTTCTTGTATTTCAATCCATCTTTCTTTTCATCCTCATTTTACAAGCATTCTGATTTAGGAGATTTGCACTAGTTTTTACTATTTCTATCAGCAATAATACACTATTTCATTATTTCTCTTGTCCCTCTGGAAGTTGTAATTCGTTCTTTATATAATAAGTAGATAAATAAATTAAAAAAGCTATTAAAAGTATGTCTGTATGATACTAAATATGCTGCAGTAGCGGAGTAGTAGTCGTATCTAACAAATATATGTCGTTCCTATCATTCAATCCCTCCTTATCAAGATATACATTCCTGGAAAGCATTGCATTGCAAATGGTAGCATATGTATGTTTTTTATGGTAAGAAGAGGATAAGAACCAATCGATCGTGCTTATTTAGCAGCAGAGAAGCATTTCCTTCTAGATCTCGATTACTGCATCTGCACCGTCTGAACGTGACTCAAACTGTTTCTGCTTCTCATAATGATGTCCTGTCATGACAAAATTTATGAGAATTTTTAACCTTAATGGGAAATATGAGATCGTACCAGTAGCATCACGAATCCTAGGAAAATGGCCTTGATAATTGGTGCCAGTTGTGGAGACGCCTCAACCGTGAAGTCCAGTCCGGTGATACCCTTCCGAATTATTTTTCCCACGAGTCTCCCATCCTGCGTGGCGACCTAACGTAATAAAGTGTCAGTAGAAGGATGATTGATGACGATAATAGTAAAAATATATTTATTAAATTATTTACTGGATATTCCGAAGCACTGAATATTTTTTCTTTCGATTTAATAAAAAAATGAACATTTCCTTGTTCGTCACAAATCTCAAAATCGTTCGTTAACCAGTTCGACTTGGTTACGACGGAGCCGATGGGGTTTCCCGTGGTGAGGAGAGTAATCATGGCCCTCTGTAACACATGTTTAGACATTGACGTACATGGGAAACATGCATATGCAACGTCTTAATGCAAGCGCTTTCACTTTCATCTGCCCACGCGTACCTTTGGAGGAACGAGACTCTTGAAGATTCCAGCCCCCGTTTTATTTTCAAATTCAACCTTCACAATCTCCTTTCCACCAAGGTCTAAGATTGTGACGGGTTTTCGCATCGCCCACCCGTTTTTTTGGACCCCGATTAAAATGACGTTGTCGTCATTGTCACCCTCAGTTATTTGGAATTGGGTCGACGTCTGGTTGGTTTCTTTCACTAGGAAATTTTTGGAAATTTAAATTTTCAGTTTTCAAAAATATTGTAAATTGTGAAAGATTACTTACGATCCGACCCGTGTTTAATCTGTATTTTTGGAAGTCCCCTCAAAACCTCGAGCGCCTCTTCGTAATGTGCCGAAGGCCATTGTGAATCATCAAAGGGAACGTAGGTTTCTGCACACAGAGATAAAAATATGTATAATATAATACTTTTATAAAATCGGAAATTTTCGTATTTATTACGATTTTTTTTTGCAAGTGCTAAAAATATAACGGTCCAAGAAATATAACGATTACATGCAAACAGTGAATAAAATATAAAACGTAACGTAACTGCTTTTACCCAATTTGGCGTAATCTTTACGAACTTCGGAGTATGATGCCATTTTATGTTTAAATTATTATTTTATTTTTTATTAGACGTTTTCACTCGATGTACAGTTATTTTGAAAAAGTGGAAATTTTATTTCATGGAAAACTCAGTTGCATATATAAATAGTCGTCGGTTGGAGAAAATCCTGCAAAAATTATGAGAATATTTTATTTTCTAAAAGGCCAACTCGTCCGCTATGTGAATTTGGATTGGTATTGAGACGATTTATATTTACAACTTCATTAGCCTTCCACTTTTTGTAAAGGTTAATCGAAATGAGTAATATTTTTTATTTCTTTCTTCGATGTGACTAATCGACTCGTACGTCGGTGATGTGTGTTATATTAAGAACTACTTTCTTTCTCGCTTGTTTTCTCCCTGAATAATCTAGTCGTCACGGGCGAGGGATAAATTAAAGGCTGAGTTGTTCACTTGTCCCCACCGTAAATGATGGTAAGAAAGACTTGCCTGGCTGCAACCCACACGGACGAATCGCACACAGTAACGGAACCCAAGTGAAAGTTCAACCTGGAAAAAGACCACGTAACACGAAGCTGCTAGACGGTTGGGAGAACATGCACCGATTTTGTGGCCCAATCAGAAAGAGAAAGCACTCCGAAGCATGTGCAGAATTTATGGCGTCTACATTTTCAGTGGATGGAGTGCTAGCCTGTGGCGCAGAAAAATCCGCAGTGTTGGAAACACGGAGAGAACAAACCTCGTCCCTCAGACCCAACCTTTCCCGAAACCTTCCCGACCGTTTGGTGGGATGGCAAATATTCTGGGTAAATAATATCCAGAGAGCATGCAGAAAGTTTGGAGGGAGTCGTGATCGTGTGGTGGGGAAAGTTGGCGGTGAAAGTGTGGATGTTAGTTCTGCGAAAATAAAATCAATAGGGTCACCACCACCACCAGAACAAAGTGAAACTTAAGCAGCCGGGGAGATGAAATAGTGATAGGAAGGATACTTTTGGAGATATGAATCGCTAGAAATGAGGTGAAATGAGTATGTTAGTTATATGTTTGTTTAGTCGATTTTGTGCCAAATAAGTGATACAAGATTTTGTGGGGATTTGTATCAAATGTCAGATTGCTAAATATATTATGTTAGTCAAACAAAGCGAAACCAAACCACAAAGCGAAACCCGCAGGGACAAAAATAAAATATGATGTATGAAGTGAATCCTTGTTTTCGACTGTTTTTGACAATTTCAAGGTTGGCACGTGCTGAATTGACACCTGAAAAATATCCGGGCTTGGAATTGCTAAAATATGTACAAGGATTTGCTTTTACAGGATACGGAGAAAGCGGCAAGACCCTTGCAAATTGCAAACTCTGGCAAATAATGTAACATTTCGCAGAGATAGGATCACGTTCAATTTATTTTGCATTAATTTATCGAGTCGAGTTGAACCTTTTTGTTCTCGTCATCCGGCAGCATCTGGTTTTTCTCAGCGTCTTTTTTTATGGCGTTTCAGTAGCCGAGCTCCCGTCACTTTTCCCACCTCGCTCTAATATATCGCATTACAGGGGTCCTGGTATATTTTATCAGTTTTCGCACTTTCATGGTGATGCTGATCCGGAGATAGAGCTGCAGAATTAGGCAGGAGAAAGGTCAAGAGTAGGCATCGTCCGTGTTTGATGTTCACTTCACGATGTCTTCTTCATTCCAACGAGGGCAGAACGTATGCTGCTTGGTTTGAGAGATCTGGTCCTTGTTCGCTAATAAGAAGTGTGCACTAAATATGGCGTCAAGGTTCTAACTTATTTTTTCTACCTAACAAAGAATGGTGAAATGTTGTTCTTCATTGTCACATTTTATGGAAAATAACATGCCTAGAACAGGCACACCAAATTCAATCATCTCTACTCACTCCAAAATGAGAGCAACAATTGATGGATGTAGAAAAAAGGGGTTGCCACGGTTTTGACCATGGAATTTTAATACCGTGACCTGTTGTAAATATTTACAAATTTTAGCTACATTTTGTCATTTGTAACATCCCTCGTTGATCATTACCGTTAATCCGAAATTTTAGGGTTGTTGCGAAGCCTTTTACTACTTAGCCCTTGAAGAACTTCCTCTGAAATTGTGCTCCTCTCATTGGAACAGTCCTTAACTCAACTTTACTTATATACGATTAGGTAGTTTGGATTAACACATGCGAAACGTGAAAAGAAAGCAGGCGCAATTTATTTTTCTCACGGGCACATCACGTGCCTATTGTTTTATGAGGGTATGACGTGAATATTTAATGAATAATGATGCAGCCAAATTTCAACCTTGTTTAATACGATGTTGGGATTATATTACATAATTCATAGTTTAGTAGTTTGGATAACTGATATTCCACAGTTCTCCGTTCCACTTTTGAAATAATGAAGTGCAAAAAATTAAGAATAATCTACACATTGATTAAATTATAAAGATCTTTGAACCAAAGAAAGGTAGATTATTATTAGACTCCCAGTATTTGAGACTGGATAAAAAGAGGCAGATTGAGACTTCGTATTATGAGATGAAGTAAGAGGGTCGCCTTGTCTCAATTTCCCGGAGCAAACTTTTAGCCAATATGGTGTTTACTCGTTGTTTGTATATATGTCATGCTTTCTCTTCCAAGAAATATAAGCTAAAATTGTAAATGATGTTACGAAATGATGATCTAATGACAGATACCTCCTTTCTTCTTGTGCGTTACTTCATTAACTTTTAGTATCAAGACAAGGCCTACGTATTCCTCTATCTATTCCTTCTACGTAAGTATTATCCTCTGGGTCTGTTTTATTTTATGCACTTTTTGCTCTTGGCAAGGTGTTGTTGCAAGTAAATTACATTTGCCGAGGGTGAGGGTTGTTTAGTTGGGTTGTACGAGTGGCATTGAGCATTAGTGGTGGATGATTCAACAGCCTACATTCAACCAGCCTTTTACCTCCTCGTAAACAATTCACCTTTAGTTTTATTGTTACTAATAAACAATTCTTTTTAACCAACCGTGTTGACCAAATTCACCGAATTATGATAATTTTAATTGCTTTATAACCACTTCTCTTCGGTAAGATCTCATTCAATTAAGCCGAAAGTTTGTTTGGTGCTGATAAATAAATAAACTACTTTTAAACAAGTGACACAGATAAGCAAATTATTGATTGGCTATCGATTTTCCTGGAATTTGAAACCTGTTGCTTTGTTTTTTGGAACAAATTGTAATTTTGAGCTGTTTTTTAGTTTTAGTGGTGGTAACTGGTGTTTAGTGTTTAAAATGGGGTCGTTGCAATGTAAAATTTAATGGCGGAAGAAGGTCGTCCGTGTCGCGTTATCTAACTTTGTGAAGATAAACTCGTTATTCCAAATCTTTTCCGGAAGTGACTTGAATATTGTGAAACCTAGTTAATTACTACAAGTACGGGTAAAAATGCCGCAGTCGGAAAGGTCTGGTGGGATTTTGGGGTGTTGCGGCTATCTGGGGGATAACCTTGTAGGGGATGATGATAACAATGCAATTCCCAAACCGAGAGGATGTACGGATATCGTTTGGTTGATCGTTTACGTCATTTTCTGCTGTATTTTGGTACATATTCTGTTGTTTATCATAATGATGCCAATTAGTTGTCTTTAGTATTTTGATGTATGCTTTATTTTTGCTATAAAGGTCTTGATAGCCTGCTTTGCCTTGGTTTATGGAAATCCCAAACGTTTGATAAATGGGATGGACAGTTTTGGAAACGTTTGTGGGAGTACGAATCAAGATTTCGATAATATGAGCTTTTCTGGGATGGATATGACCGACAAGCCGTAAGTACATATTTTGATTGCAAATCGTTACTACATGTGAACACTAACTATAAAACCAATTTATGATACTACAATTGTGATGTATTTCTAGGTACACGTTCTACTTTGACCTTTCCGATATGGATCGTTCCACCAGGATTTGTGTTAGCGAGTGTCCTCACGTAATTATTAATGAGATGGCAGAACTGCAGGAATATGCCATGAATGTTTCCATCAACTATTGTCGGTATGCCTTAATATAACCAAATCATGGATTGGATAGGATCACTTTAATAACTTTGATTTTGTGTACTTTGGTCAGATATGACTTTAACATCAGTGAATGGACTCCCACTAAATCTGCTGGGAGGGCTTCAACTGGATCTATTTTAGAGTTTGATAACATTTTCTGCCCAAGTTTTCCGGTTTATGCTAGGTTAATTAATTTCCATATCACGATAATGGCTCAACTTAGGTCTGTGCTAATTTTGATATACTTTTTACAGTCACCCGATTTTGAAGCGATGTGTCCCCATCGTGGATAACTCTCCAGGAATGAAAATGTTTAATTTAGGACGACTTGATGACATATTTCCAAGAATTTACCACTATCTCAACAGTCTGAATCTATTCCAGCAAATTTTGGGTGACCTGGCATCCACTTGGGTAACTGTGTTGGGATTGACGTTAATTTCCTTTGGTAATTAAAAAAAAAATATAAAAAACCTAGGTTAGAATTAATGACTAAATCTGTTGCATATTTATTTTTGTAGTGATTTCGCTCTGCCTGGTGGTCGTCCTTCACTGGATGACAACCCTTGTAGCGTATATTGTTCTTATCTTATCCTCAGTATTTTCAATTGGTAATTTTTCATGATGAATTAATGAAGTTGCTTCCTGGATTATGTATAGTTTTTTATCTCGTAATTATACAGTACTCACTGGATACTTGTGGTGGACTTTTATCGATATTCGAAGAATTTTGGAAACAACACCGGATGACTTCCGGCTGGAAGAGATGGAACGAAATAAATGCTACTTTTTCACGTATAGCATTGTGTCAACTATTTTCACAGTGAGTCTGACATTTTGTTAAATCCAACTTATCATTTAATACTTAAAGTTGTCTTTCATTTCAGATTATTCTCCTCTTGGTCAATTTGGTCGTTCGAAAACGCGTGACAATTGTTGTTAAATTGTTCCGAGAAGCTGGTTCAGCAATGATGAGCATGCCTTGTTTATGGGTTCAACCGTTTATTACATACGTCGCCTTATCTTCCTTCTTCTGCGCATGGCTGTACATTGTTCTCTGTATCGCCACTTCGGGTAGGAATTATTTTGTGCATTTTAAATCTTTATGTTCTTAAAGATGCTGATTTTAATTTTATTTACTCATTTAGATTACCCCGAAACACGGCACATTCCTTCCCTCCCTGCAGCAGGAGTGAACAATCTGGCTGCGACGATATCCGCGATCCAGCAGCATGCTAACCATACAAACTCTGGTATTGAGGACTCCTCTGCTTCTGACCTGGGGGAAATTGGTGGGATGGGAACATCGAATAAAACAAGGCTGAGTTGGGATGATGTAGCCGGTTGGACGCTGATTGAGTACTCGGACGAAACTTGGGTGAAATATATGTGGTTTATCTACATTTTCGGACTGATTTGGTGCTCTGAATTTATTCTGGCATGTCAACAAATGGTCATTGCAAGTTCTGTTGCGACCTGGTATTTTTCGAGGTGATTATATATTATACAAAGTACACGTATTGTTAATTTTGTTGACAATTCTTGTTTTTCTACATGTAGGTCTCGAAATTCATTGAATTGCATCGTTCTAAAGTCAATCTCTCGGATGATACAATTTCATATCGGATCAATTGCTTTGGGGTCACTGATCATCACATTTATCAAATTGCCGAGACTTATTCTCCAATTCACACAGAAAATGTATTTATTATTTGTCTATCATGCATTTAGAAATTAATTACTAAGCTATGAGTCATTCACTTTGATTACTTATCTTTTTATTAGATTCCGAAAATGGGACGATTACCAAATAGTTAAATGGTTGAGTAGATGTTGCATCTGTTGCTTGAAATGTTTTGAGTGTGCCATGAAGTACGTTCATCATAATGCATACACGGTTATCTCGATCCAGGGAGTTAATTTTTGTCCAGCATCACGATTGGTAAGACACAAATATTTAATACCCATTATCATTTCGTATTTGAATAATCATGGTATCATTTATTTCAGGCATTTTCAGCACTTGTCCAAAATGCTCTGCAAATCTCTGTCATAAATAGCATTGGAGATTTTGTCCTGTTTTTGGCTAAATGTATAACTGCTTCGCTGACAGGATTGATTGCACTTGCCATTTTCCGGAGGGATGAAACCCTGTACTACTATGCCATCCCTGTTCTGCTTACCATTGTATTCTCATACTTTGTGGCACATTGTGTCCTCTCCGTTTTTGAGGTAATTATACAAAATATAGACTACCTACTTGTAATTGGTTTAGACATAAAATTTCTTTTGTCAAATGGACTAGATGGCTGTCGACACTCTATTCCTCTGTTTCTGCGAAGACCACAACATGAACGATGGCACGGACGGGAAACCATTTTATGCTCCGACATCATTCCTTCAATACATGACCATTGATGCGGTTGATGCCATCGCACCCGGGCGACGGTCTCATCTCGAAAGTCCCTCGCACCTAAAGAAATCGCAAATGACTGACTTTAAAGAGGCAGCCAGCCCTGAGGAGATCATTCCAATGAATCCGTACCACGAAACTACGACTCCTAACAATGACGATTGATTCATTCGTCCAAATGAAAAAAATCTTAAAAGTGAAATTGAAAACGTCCTACCCATTTACTACATGAACATACAGAATAGATATTGTTGATCTTATATTAACTTTCTTGTTGTTGCTGTTGGTAGTTCTCCTAGTCCAATCACAGTTAAGTCTGGTTGCTGGTTTATCGTGTAGCGTAAACTTGTGACGCTATTATTCATTATGCAGTTTTTTTAAATCTGACTGACTAACTAATTATGTTACCTTTACTCGTTGGACGATAATCAGAGTATTATTAGAAAGAAACATTTGATCTATTTTTGAAATGTGGAAAACACCGTAACGTTTTTTTTAACTATTTTAACAATTCAGGCTAAATGGAAAATAAGCAAATTCAAGCTTTTAAAATCTTATTGCATTCTTCAAAACCATTTCAAATAATACATACCGAATGAACATTCTTTGTTTTTTAATCTATTTTTTTTAGTTTTTGTTCATGCTGCTGCTACTTTGTCAAATGCGGTAACTATTGATAGATAAGCTACTAAAGTGTGAGGCGGCATTTATTTATATTTATTTAGGTTAAGATAGTTAAGCTAGTTATTGTTGCTGTTTCCTTATGGTTGTAATTTATTAGGAACTAATTGTTAAATGTGTCGTTTTCATCGCCGTCCGTCTACAAACTTGGAGCTTGACAATTTCTGATTATGCGTAATATTTTTTTAGTCATTCTCCTCCAAAACTTCACTTATCCTTAGTTGTCACTTAGATATCAGTTTTTGCAGCTAAACACGTAAAACTTAATGAGAGAACTGTTTGAAAGACTTGGTTTTTTATACGTTGCGTTAAGTACATATTGTAATAAGTTTAGTTTCATGAAAAAGTGCTGTTATGATTTTGGGTCCAAGACTTGCAGTTTTTAGCTAATACATTGCGAGCTGGGTATAACATCGTAATTATTTAGACAACTTAACGACTACCAATAATAATGCAAATGTCTAAGGATATAAAAGATACATGGACATGTAAGACAATCTAATCAAATCGTAAAAGCCAAATATCGAAACAAAGACTAAATATATATTTCAGGATATAATATAAAATATATATTTCTGTAAAAGAGTATAATCTGGGCAAGTTATCTATACAATTATTATTTATTTATTTTATGTCAAAGCATTGCGATTCAATAGAAATTTTTGAAAAGAATACTAAATAATAGTAAATAAATTGTAAAAACGGTTTTAACTCAATTTCGTCACTCATGTTGCGGTTCTACACTAAAAATCTCATCGGAGGGATCCATTTTGTAGGAGAATTCTGGTCTGCTGTTTTCGTACTCTAATTTTTGAGAGAGTTTATTTTCATATTTACCAGCATTTGCCTTTTTCAACATGGAACGATACTGGAAGAAACATTTTTAATTAGCAAATGCTCAATAATTTTTATTCGTTAAATGGGTAATTATTATTTTCGTATGCACCTTATTTGGAGTCACGTAGTGTGGATTACTCCAAATTGTTTTGCCATTGAAGCTTGCTTCAAAAATTCGGATCGGGTTCAAACAAAATCGTGGTCCTACAAGGAATTTGGTTATGCAATTAATTTGTCAAGTATTATTATTATGGTTTTAAAAATGATTAAGTGTATATGCACCAATTTCGACCAGGGATCCATCCTCCTCCATGATTTGATAGTTTCTAAACCAAACTCGATTATCGAGGATACTGAAGGTGAAAACATGATCAATGAAGGGCTGGCTTTTTGGGTAGTGATACGGTGTCCCAAATATTTGCATAAACATTTCCTTCATCATTTGATAGTGTGGCGCAGTCTCGAACGTGGGATCGAAAGATAACAAGGCTCGTGAGCCTTTCAGACAATTTCCCGTAAACTTCAGTTCTTCCATGGTGGACACTGTATAAAATGAAATATAAACACAATTAGATAACTAGCCAATTATCAAATGTTTTAAACAACGTATTTTTGCTTGTACGTACCATTTTCCATCAAAAATTTGCAGGACGGTCCGTCAGGAATGTTGGACATCCATAAATAAATGTCACCCTTTATTCGGCCCTCAAAAAATAAAGTTTTGTTGCAATTTTTCATTTCAGCGATCTATGAATCATTAATACACACAATTACGGCATTATCCTCAAAATTCTATCTCTTAACGGCAAACTGTACAACTACAAACCTCATTAATAGCAAATAGTTTGTCTCTCTTATCCATTTTTGACTCCTTTTTAGTATGAGGCATTAAACGTCGGAGATTATCCATAATATGTCGCCCACGGAAAGATATACCTCTCGAACCAAAGATCAAAACTCGTTGCTTGTTCGTCCAGCGACCCTACAATTTGACAATGATATTCAATATTATTCAATTAATTAAATCAAAAACTTGACAATTTGCAATTTACAAATGGTTTATTTAAAGTAAGGTATTACTTTGGAAAGTGGTGCATTAGACTCGTCCGACTTTCTACTATCTGGTAAAACTACTTCATTCGCCTTTTTCTTGGCCAGTTCGGCGACTTCGACAGCTGCAGCAAGATTTTTCTTGTGATTTTGTGGATGTTTCTTAATTTTCTGAACAGCACGCCTCCCTTTTGGACCGACGAGGTCTTTAAGGACGTGCTCCGACGGAGTCAGGTTTACTTTCTTTCCGCGCACTTTTACCATCTTGGAGTGGGAGGAACAGAGCTTATCTTTGCTTTATAAGTGGAAACTAACAGATTAATTATTATCTAAAGTCTGACAATTAAAAAACAACTAACAATATGAAGACGTTATTATGAGCCACAAGCACGTGTTGAGAAATGTGTTTAGTTTGGGTGCCGCGCTGGGAACATGGGAAAGTGGGATTCATTTGTATGTATTACTCTTTTTGCATGTAAATGAAAATTCGTCCTCACTAATTTACATTTGAATTGATTGAATATTTAAACCAATCGTCACATTTAATGAATAAGCATTAAAAATACATATATGAAGTTGGATGTCATATGTATAAACTAGGTTATGTATACGGAAAAGCCGGAAATTAATAATACATAAAATTCCCCATCGCTACGCCACAAAAAACTACAAAACGAAATGATTTCTCAAATGTCGACAATTCAAGCTAAGGAGTATGAAAATAGACGAGATTCTGGAATGTAACGTTCAGTCGGAATTAATTAATTATAAAGCGTTGCTCTCGCCTCTGCCGTTGTTTTTTATCCTCTTCTGTAAGGTAGCATCTTGCTTTTTGATCTGGTTGCAAATCTAGATAAGGGATGGTTAAATGTTAAAACATTCAATATGCAAAAAAATTATATTTTTGCAGTGCAAGTGTTACAACCTTGAGAGAAACACAATCTCGCTGTTTAATGATGGAAAAACAGTTAATCACGTTGATGAAAGGGAGACGATCTAAAATTAAAGAATCATCATATTGTCTTTATTGATATGAATATAAAATTATTTCTCACCATTAAATGGCACACAAACAGGTCGATCCAAACTGCTGAAGATATATCTTTCCGTCTGATTGACGTACTTCTGAGATATATACTGTCTGAATGCCTCTTTCCCCTTCATCTTGACCGAATCTTGTTCTGGCGATGGCGTCTGAACGGTTTTTTCTGTAAATAGTTCATCTTCGTCACTTTCTAAAGTTGGTTTGTCGTCTTCATTGTCTTCGTCGTCGTCTTTGTCACCATCATCTTCCTCGGTGTATTCAACTTTCTCCAAAACAGTGGCCCACGCAACTTTCTTTATGGGGGGACTCAGTTTTTTGCGCTCCTTCTTTGCCCATGTGTACACGACACGGTTGGGATCTGTCCGTGCAGATAAGTCAAAGTCAAAATGACTTTCGAGTTCCAACGTCGAATCTGAATCTGGTGTTGAGCAGACTTCGATTTCAACTAGGCCCATGACTGGTTCTGGAAAATTGAAAATGTTCGATTTGATCAAGCTTTATAATATAGCTCTATAATTTATCCATTGTACTTAAAATCTCTGATGGTATTAAAACCAAGGAGACAATTTAATAGAAAGTATTACCTTTCAAAGGAGACGGCAAATTCATTTCCAGTACATACAACTTGCTTTTACAACCTTCCTCTCGTAATAGTGGTCGTTTTGTCACCAGTCACCTGTCAAAATAGATGTTAAATGAGGAAAGATTCTAAATTTTAGATCGTCGTTTAGTCGAAAATCCAACAACCACGACCAAAGTCAAACTTGTTCCGGACAGGGACAAAGTATTAAATGGGAGTCGAATGGGAGAAATGTGGAAATGGTGAGCGATACAATAAAATGGGATTTGGATCAGTTTAATTTGGATTAATTAAATTAAAATATGTCGGTAAACTGGGTAAATATTATTTATATGATTATTATTAACATGTGATGCAATCAAACAAACGTCAAAGTTGTTGTGGTTTGCTGTTGGAGCCGAGCACTGCACAAAAATCTTAGATTTGCTCATAGATTTCGACATAATAATCATTCTTGTCCTTAGATTGGATTCTAGTCTAGTAAATTTGAGTATAATTTTCAAATTTATGTAAATTCCACATTCTTGTTGCAGATTCCGTGGAAGAATATTTGACCAGATCGAAGAATGATATTGAGGACCGATGGAAGGAGACGGGGAATGTGAGTTGAGTTGCTAAATATTTTTGCATGTCATGCAAATTACAAAATTAGTGATTTTCTAATTTTCAGAGTAATGCGAGCATCACGGATTTCACAATCATTAAAAATCTTGGCGAAGGGTCATTCGGTCTTGTGAAACTTGTTGAACACAAGCAAACTCGACAATTTTACGCAATGAAGATGCTTATCAAAGCAAAAGTTATCAAGTTAAAGCAGGTTGAACATACTATGAATGAGAAGAAGGTATTATCCATTATCAGCCACCCGTTCTTGGTCAATCTCAAGTACCATTTCAAGGTAATGATGGCATATGCCATTTTATAAAATTCTATTCAAACAATTAATGTTTTTTTTATAAATTCCATTTACTAAAATTGATCATGTTTTTATAGGATCCCATCAATTTGTACATGCTCATGGAATTCATAAACGGAGGTGAAATGTTTTACCACTTACAGAAACAGCGCAAATTCAGGTAGATCAATTGTCTACACATCTTTTTGCACAAAACCTCGTAACATACTTTTTAAATTATCTAAATAGTGAACCCTTGACCCGATTTTTTGGAGCCCAAGTCGTCCTCGCATTTGAATACTTACACTATCTGGAAATTTTATTCCGCGATTTGAAACCAGAAAACATCCTAATTGATGCCCACGGATTTCTTAAAGTGACGGATTTTGGCTTTGCGAAGCGTGTCAAAGGAAGAACTTGGACCCTGTGTGGCACACCCGAGTATCTTGCGCCGGAAATCATCATGGCGAAAGGGTACGGTGGGGCTGTTGACTGGTGGGCGGTGGGGGTCCTCATTTACGAAATGGCTGCGGGACGCTCCCCCTTCTGTGCAGATCAACCGATTCAGATTTATGAAAAAATTGTCGCCGGAAAGGTCAAATTCCCTTCTCATTTTGGAGACGATATTAAGGACCTAGTCCGAAATTTACTGCAGGTATGTAAGGCAGGATAATTAGTAGTCTGAAAAAGTTTAATGTTCTCTAAATACCCAGGTGGATCTCAGTAGACGATTTGGTAACCTCAAGAATGGAGTGCATGACATAAAAAACCACGCTTGGTTTAAGAGTACAGACTGGAACACTATTTTCCATCGAAAAGTATGCACACAATAATTTTCCATCGTAAATAAACCCCTTTCTACTTTTTTTCAAATTTTTTCTCCAGGAAATCCCTCCGTGGAAGCCAGACGTCTCTAATGCCGGAGACTCCCGACATTTTCAACCATTCGACTCTGAAATTGCTAAAGAAGAATCAAAACAGAAAGCTGTGGAAGATTACGACAAATTTTTTGCGGATTTCTAATGCTCTCATTATCATCATCAATTAATTAATAAAGTCGTCGATACACATGTCGTATGCTGCTCATGTAAGTATGTATTTGTGTAAAGTTCAGAATTGCACTCGATATTGCAGGAAATTTTATTACTGTCGGATTTGACTGTGTGCTAATAATAAATGATGATAAGTATAATATACAAATCTTTGAAATTTTGATTAATTACGGTCAGTGTAATTACTGTTTTCATCCAAGAGGGATTGTCGCTGTCGCATGGGGATCAAATTATTTCTCTCCAATAACTTTGATGTCAACATTCCCACACCGACCCCGATATTTGTGACGGCACGGGAAAAAGCGAGATGGGCAAGGCATCCAAGATACGATCCCGTGATAAATTCTCCACAGGAGAGTATTGGCCAAAATTTAGTGGTGTGATCTTGACCCACGTTGTTGTCCTTATCGCCAACTCCGTAGAAAATGTCGCCAAGGTCCAAGTAATCCCAGCATGCCAGTGTCATCAAGATGTCGACCGTGATACGGACCTGTGGTGGGACGATGTGTAGTCAGATAAGCGGGATGGATAAGTCACTTTCTTACTTACAGCTTGAGATTCCTCACTGCCCGGCGACAAGCGATCGCCCATCAGCTCCCAGTCATTTTCGCAGCTAGTCAACCATGTCACAAAATAGACGAAGGACGTAAATCCCAGGTGAAAGTGGAAGCTGTCCAAGTACGAGATCCAAGTCAAAATGGTAACAAGTAGGATGCCAATCAAACCAAAAAATGCGAATTTGAGCATGATCGTGACCTCGTAGCCCTATGCACAATAGTGCAATTATGATTTTGATAATTCGCATGTATTTTGAAATTGCATTTTTTTACCAAGCTTTCAATTGGATCTTCCAACGCCACGATGAAATGTTTTGTAATTATTTATTTAAGTTAACAAGTAAACTTCACTGAAAATTTTGAATCAGAAAATTTAGAAGGATTTTTACTCAACACATTTATAATTAGCCAATTTCGATCAATTTAGAAACTTTGTTAAATTAATTTGTTAATTACAAAATTTTGTCCCGTTCTTGACATGCTTGTTGTTGTTCATTCGCGTTTTTGACCCTTGTGTTTCCAAGCAAAGATATCCACAAAATTTACATAATTGTATAATTTATGAGGTTCTGTTCCATATGCATACGGTTGGTATCCATTATGAATTTGTGTATGAATACTGTACGAGTAAATTTATACAATGCATTTCTTTTTCTACACAATTTTTATTTTGATATAAATCATAATTTTTTACGGTTCTCAAATAAACCATGTATAATGTTTCACCAGTTATGAAAGGGCAACTTTCTAATGGAAATTCTTCACAGTCTAATATGCTCCCTGTTTTCAACTTAGGGGACTTCTAGCCTACCGAATTCTTGGTCCTGAGCGGGGGCAGGAGGGTCACCATCGCCATCAGGGCGAGCTTGCTCTCTCGCAGCAGCGACGCTGTTGGGGTCCGAGGTCCAGTTGAGATTCTCGTTCACTAGTCGTTTCACGTAGCGAAATTGGGCAATAAGTGATCTGTACAGAGAGGACAAATTAATAAAGAGATCATCTCCAATTAAAAAAAACTTTTTCCGATACGGACACACCTGAACAGGGTGCCAGACGGTTCATAGCATGAAATTCGTAGCAGGTACAATTCATAGCAAACATTCAATTCGTAGCATGTTACAACTCGTAGCACATTTTTTTCGTAGTTATTAATCTGATAGCTTAACACGATTCATAGCAATACAATTCATAGTGTTTTTTGTCAGCTAAAATTAAAAATCACCACCTTCCACATAATATTTTGTACGTTTTGAATCCCAAATCTTACGCACAAATTATGTATGTATCCCCAATAAGGTTTGCCGACGTAATTTTTCAGTGGGTTTCAAACTATGCGATGTGAAGCTATTAAGAGACTTTTGCAAACCCTATACAAAATATGTAGAGGTTCGATTTGATTAATTGGAAAAATCAGTATGTGTAAAATCAGTTGTGTAAAAATTTCAAGTGAACAAGATGAGAATAACGAAGGGTATGTTGGCTATTGGCAGATAAACAAACGGACAAAGCAGGGGTATAACCTTTGACTCGAGTTAAAATTTTTGTCAGTTGATAAAATTTGCATATTTGGTTTCTCGCTATGTAATGCTACGTAGCGATATAAATATGTATTGTACTTGCTACGAAAAGATGCGCTATGTATGGATACTACTATCAGTTATAAGGACTATGGTATGTACATGCTATGAATTGTATGCTACGAGATATATGACTATGAATCGTCTGCTATGAATTGCCCTGGAATCACCTGAACATGGCGAAAGTGGTGAAATAAAACAAGTAATATCCCAGCGATAAGAAAACGTCGTCCACAAACTCAATTCCGGTCTGTGCCACGTGAACAACCATTTGTTCCGGTTGACCCACGACTTTCTTGGTTAAGTTGTCTTCCTGGTAGACGCTAATAAAGTATCCCCTCTCTAAGACGTACATCAGCATGTTGGAAACAATCAGGGGAAAGTTGTTGGCCCAGATTCGCAACTATTCATCAAATTATTCTTTTTAAGAAATTAGTGCTAGAGAATACAATACTTGTTAAATTATTGCATACGACAAGGATCGACTCTGGCATGGAGTCCTGGTCAAAGTATTGCGTGTCTTCGTAAAATGAATATCCTAGAAGGATGCAGAATATGATAGCCGTCCAGTGTGCCTTCAAATTGTGGTAAAAGATGCCTGCTTGACATAAGCAGAAGTAGAACGTATAGCGAAATATTTGACGAAACTGGTGAATCTGAAATAAATTGGAGGAGAAATGAAGTCCATTTTATTAGGATGTTCTATGTGAATATCTGTTTAGTGACGCCGGTCCCGTACTACACATTACTTACGACGACAGCTTTAGTGTTTGCCATGATGAGGGATAAGTCGTAAAATTATTGAGACGTCTTCCTTAGTGTCAGTGTGATAGTTTGAACGTTTCAGTTTGCGATATCAAGAAAATGGGATGTTGTGTACATATATTCTTTACCTCAAATATGTGACATCGTTGTTGTGACATTCTCACGCTCATACATATTTTGTGAAATGAAACGTGTCCAAAGTCGAATTTTTAACCTTAAAATTCGAACGAATGTATAAATTTTTAGTTCATAATTAATTGGATAGTCGAAATATTCTTAGAATGGTCACCCCCGCACGCTCTCAGTCTGAAGGACCACTCCTCGAAGAAGAGAAAGAAGGAGTCTCATCCTCCTCATCCTTGTTGGGTTATGACTTTCCCTTACCTGTAAGAAAACCTTGCAATAAAGAATATAGACCCGATTCTAAATAACGTCTTGTCCCCCATATGTACATATAAACTTTTAGACGGTGGTGCTCATAAAAATCTTTGACGTTCTCCCCGTCGAAGGAATGCTAAATTGTCGACTAGTATGTCAAGAGTGGAACAGCGTGATTCATGCCGCAGATTTACTCGATATTAAATCATGCTTTGTCGTTGATGGTACGGAATAGATATTTTATTAATTATAATTCTTGAAAGTCCATAATATTCTAATTATTACGCATAGGTCGCCGGGAGGATTCTGCCGAATCCACCAAATGCAACGAGTACATGGATACTTCTTCGTCGAAAAACTATCTCTGGTCTCATTTAAAGTTGCGTCGCGTCGTGGCTCGTCACTGCACCTGGCTCTTCCGTCAGATTGAAACTTCCTCGACGGAGAATTTTACTGGAAACGTGACCACGCTAGAACTCCTCAATAGCACGCTCAATTGGGCCCAAATTCTTCAGCTGTTGATCGATTTTGAAAATCTCACCCACTTTTACGACAAGCAGGTCCGTGGATGTGCATAATAAATACTTATATAACCGTATGGTCGGTATCGGAGGACATATTAATTGAGAATTTTTATTATCTTGCAAGCTTTCGAATAAACATGCAGTTATTCTTTATCAGGCAAAGCATAATCCAATGAATATGTTACTTGTATAACATTTCTTTAGAATTTCACTAAATAAATGCATGTATACCACTCGTTAGGACATTTACTGCTGGGACTACGCCACATTTAACACCGGTATCGAGGAAGACGAAGTCATTCCTGACACGGCGAGCTTCCAGCAACTCCGAAACTCGGAACGTTTGAGCACCCCCAGTCGTCTAAGAGTTGTCCGAATCCACCGCAGTCAGCTAATCGAATGTACCACGTACCTCAAAATCCTACAGCTTCGATTTCACTCACTTTCCCAGCTAGAAATACACACGGACCAAAACTTTGCCCCTCAGAGAGGAAACCTATTTTACACCCATCTTGGCCATCTTCTCGCCAAGGTGGGAGGAACACTGAGGACGCTCTGTTTCCCGTACAAGTTGGTCTGTCCCTCGTACGACTTCAGGACGACGGACGAGCATCGCATTTTTCGCGAATTTTTGAACTTCATTACGGAAAATGAGTGGGTGCAACGGATACGACTTCCCGTCCTGGAGGAGTTATCTCTGCAGTATGGAGTCATTCCGATGGAGGGAAATGAACTCGTGGAGAAATTGGCCCCGTTTTTGATAGAATCGTGCAAAAATTTGAGAAACTTTTACTGTGGGTATATCCACTTGGAGGGTGGAATGGAAGCGTCACTGTTACGTGAGTAGGAATTTATGACAAAGATTTCGAAATTCGATTTTAAAATGTGGTATTCAGTTGAATTAAATAATTTCGCTTCAATTTTATCCTAGGTTTTCTCAACTTGATAACATCTCCTACTCGGGTACGATTTGGTCTTTTCATGAACGACGCCGTAGGATTACCTCAACTACCCATCGAAATCCAACAAGCAATAAAGTCATGGTCGGTTTGCACTTTTCGGGATTTTGCGAAAGAATTGGGCGAATTTTTACCTAATTTGAGCACTGAGATATTTCCAGAGCTGAAAGAATTTCAATATTTTTGTAAAAATCATACATTTCGGAGTTTCAATTTCCAAGACTTGATTTACAGGTGATACATTTATTTAGATTTGTTAATCATAATTTATTGTGATACCATCTATGTAAATGAGCAGTTTCTCACGCTTGACGCATATCAACCTTGTTGACCACAATGCCCGTCTGGAGACGCGTCATTCATCCGAAGCTTTAGCGACCATAGAAGATCCGGATATGCAAAACATCATTCAGAAACTTCCGGGGCTAATTTCTCTCCAAATTATTGGAAACATGACCTTTCTCACGGATCAGGGATTAACTGGATGCAGTGGCGAGGCGTGTCAGAGGATGCTCAAGTCGAGGGAGTTTGTCGTCAGTGAAGATAAGGTTGGCGTTCCCTTGTCGCATTTGCAAGGTGAACATCTCATATATATAGTTTCATGTTATGGACAATAAAGTCTGATTTGAAAATATTTATGAAACGACAGATCTGAAGTCATTGGTCCTGCGTGGGCTTGGAATTAAGGTGACCGACGTCTCGGCTCGACTTGCTTTTCAGAGAATGCCATTCTTGACGAAATTGCACCTCTGTGGAGCTCATCAGGTAGTTCGGAATTATGCAGGAGTTGGAAGGTAACGATAATTTAATCAAATTTAATAATATGCAGGTTTCGAGTGAAGCTAGAGTTGCCTTGACTCAAATGTACAATGTCACGAGGGGGTGTGATGTCCAATTTTAAAAACGAGGCAGAATATACATGCTTTATTTAGTAAATGTTTTTTACAAAAAGACTTCTGTAAGGCCATGCACCATGTAAGTCGCGAATCAAAAAACAAATTAACAAAATTAATTCTTTAACTTGTTAGGGATTGGAAGACATGTCGATAATTTACATGTAAAATAATTGTGATGTTTGCATTATTCACTATTCACACACGCCTCTATATATATGTTACCCTTCGGTGATAAATAATTACTTCAGCGGTAAAATTACATATTTATGTAGTACATTCGCCGGTAACAATCGTGTCAGAAAATTATTTAGTTTGCTATATATGTTAGAGCAAATTTTTTGTATTACAATGATGCAAGAATTATTAAAATCTGAGAAAAAAATTGGATTTTTGGCGACGATCTAAACGAGCGGAAACTGCGCATTTATGTAGTTCCTGATTTGGCGTCAGCAGGATCGCAAATGGGGGCATGAATTTGTAACATTTAACAAAATATTGCACTTAATGTCTGAGAAATATTTACAAGGGTCGATATTTTGTACTTCACAACGTTTATTAGCTTTAGAGTGTGGTAAGTTACTTAGGATAAGACTTGCATAATACACCAGTATAATGTCATATTGTAAATATTTCTATTGGTGCATGTGAAGTAAGAAGCCTTCTACTCAGTTTTCCGTAGCGGAGATTAATCACTTGGCGAAGTTAAATTTAAGAAATTAGTAACCTGCTCGTTTATTTTTTTACCACCAATTCCATAAAGTTTTTAATCAACAAATAAGAAAAGGTCCAATTTTGCCCTTTCCGTGGAATTACAAGGTACCCAAATGTTCCTGAAATAATAATATGCACGATGGAACAATGATTCACTGGATCTATCAAATCGGAAAAAAATACAACTTACGTGCCCTCTCTAGTTAAGAAAACATTCCTCTGGGTTTGAGTAACATCACTATTCTCGCAAATTATATCACCTAGCGTACGTCTTCGAATATGCTGAATTTGATATTCCCAGAAATTCCCAGGTCCTCCGTTTCCATGCGTAAAGAAAAACCTATCCCCATCTTTAAGCCCACGATTGCTTGACATTAAGTATCTAGGTAACGCTTCTCCCTTAAAGTTTGAGTTAGGGAACAGTCTGGGCATCCTAGTGAGCGAGTTGACTTTTTCTCCTCGCCACTTACCAGTAATGTAAATGATTTTTGTCACTAAGACTTCTAATTTGCAGCTAATACAAAATGGATTGATTTCGTTTTGGTGGCAATAAATTCCCAAGTTTGTGCTTTACAATTGCCATGTTGCATAAATTCCATAATAAATCTCGGTGAAAAGTATTGGACTGAAACATGATATGAGTCCATGTTTCAGTTCAATACTTTTCTCTGAATAACAAGTGATGCACATTTTGGAATATTAAGCGAAGGAGTAATACGTACATATTTGAAGATATTGGAAGCGAGATGTCAAAAGCCGATGTTAACTTAATTTCATAACGACGTTTACTTGAATGTTAAGGATCATATTTATAATTGTATACAATATAATTTGTACATATAACACAGATAGTATATACATATTTATGGAGATGCATAAATCACAGAAAGATTGTAACTCGAAACTGTTGAACCTTGAAACCTGAAAAAATAATATAAAATATTAATATTAATTTTAATCACCCTCCATGCATTTGCAAGTACGTTTAGGATTTGCCAACTACGAAATCAATCATAGTACACATGGGCTTTCCCAAATTCTCTCGTACTTTACAAATGAACTAAAATTGTTAATCATTACCAGATTTGACGTGCATGCATAACCTTAACTAAAAATAGTGTAACCAAAATCTTCGTCTTAGTTCTCCGCCACCACTTCCTTGGAACGCCCCGCGTTGATAATTTCCAGCTTCCGTTTCCGCACGTTAATTGTAACTGGGTTTTGGTACCTTTGATAACCCAAGTACCACAGCACCTTTAATAATAACACAAAAATAGCATTTATTTATATTTTATAAAGTTGAGGTTTTTTATATAAAATAATTTTAACTTACCGTGCAAATATGTGCACAACAGCCCATTGTCCGAGCGCCTTGTTTACATTTACAATAGAAACCTCTTATGGCGTCAGCACCTTTAACTTCTGGGTCCGAAGAATATTCGATCCATAGATCGTGGGCTTTGTTGGCTGTAAATCTTGATTCAATCTTGGCTCGCACGATGTTGGGAAATTCTGAATTCAGTTTAATTTCAAAGATTGGAGAATTTTTCATGTGCAGATTAGCGTATCTCTTGGCCAATCCAATCTGATACACTCCAAGGGTAATGTCCTCTAAATCGTCAACGGAAAGCTTCGGGAATTTTGGAAATTCTTTCAGCGAGGCTGTCTTCCATTCCTTAGTCCGGCGATCCATCTTCTCGTCCTCCACTCGCTTTTGTAGTAAATTCTCCTGGTCAGCAAGTTCCAATGCTCGTTCGGCTATCTTATCATGCTTGGGTGAGTGGGTGGAGAGAGGAGGGCAGAAACAGTTAATAAGGGCGCAACCAATTCTGAAGAACATGGGCAGCTTCTCAAGGTATCCTGCAATTAATCGCACAGTGTAATAACTTTAAAACTAGTACCAACATACATTGACATTGGTACGCATAAATTATTACATAGACTTACCTCCTGGAACCGTCTCTCGAAATAATTTGAACTTTTTCTTGATTCTTCCATTTACTGCCTCCACCAACCATCTGACCAACGTGACCCGTCTTGACTCATTTCCTTGCGAAGTGGTGAATTGTTTATCATCGGTGTCTAGTAGTTCCGGCATATGTGTGAGGTGTCCAAGGCGAAGAAGAGTCTGAATCACGTCTCTGAATCCCCTGTCCAGAATGTGGTGATCGCCCGGTTTCAAGTAAGGTGAATCAGGTGGCAGCTCCGACAAGATGGATTTTAAGATCCCAGCGTCCAGGAAACCAAAATCATGGTTAACCGATTTTATCGCCATTCATAAACGATTACAAAACACGGTCCGGTTGGTAATTCATTCCCAACTTACCTTCAAACAATTAAAAGTTGGCCCTGTTAACGCTTCACCCATTGGAACTTCGATAATCCCACCCGTAAAAAGATCAACTTCGTTCGGGTTTTGGAACAATCCTTGCAATTTTAACCAACTGTCGCTAACCACCTCTACCGGCTTATTAAGCCAACTGGTGGTCGTCTCTAGGCCACACAATCTTCTGAATTCCATCCAAGCTGGAAGACCGTGATCACGCCCTCTTTGAAAATTTCTTGCAATTAAGTCAGACCCAAAGTCGTCTGTGGGAAGTTGTAGGACATGATTTGTTAAGTCCTCGGTGACAAATGGATCATACGTTTGTGCGTTCTGTATCAGGAGGCCATTTAAAATGTAATCGTATCCTTTCCCACCATCCTGTACCACTTGAGTGTCAACAAAAAAGTTGTGCCGAATTCGATATGAACCGATATTTTCTAAGCCGCGGTACAGCTGGATTATTCCGTTGCTGAAGGTGTGACCAAATCTATAGTCGAGTTAAAAATTCGATGTTTTGAAAAACAAATAATTAGACACAGAACGCACATTTACGGCATAAAATTACTTCGCGTTTCGGTAAAAAAATGTGCGTACTCGATCGAGTTTAAGGCTACCATTTAGTCACCTGTATGCAGCATCAGCAAATGCATGGAAAACGGTGGCATCCACGTTGGGGTCGTAATTTGACCACCAATCCCGCAACGTGAGGCCATACTTGTTCATCGTGTCCATGCCGAGAAGGGTCGGCAAATATTCGCCATAAACCACATTTTGCCATTCTGCTAGGACAAGGCGCCTCGTTTCTTGAAATATGAATTCATCATCCCAAAACGGCATGAGGTTGTAAATTCCTTCCGCGATACGATTGTGTTCTCGGAACCATACTATGTAAAACATGTAGAATTATATAACTTCAGAAGAATCAGGTTACAAATATGTTGTAAAAACGTATTCATTAAGGATGTCCTTAATTGGTAATGTGTGTACAAGTTTGCAGAATTCGTTTACAAAAGTCGCGTAATTTACTAGAAAATTGCTCGTGATTTGTCTCCATAAAATTCTATACAAATATCGACTTACAAGTGTGCATCACTAGTAAGCCTGGCATTTCATTCACTCTATCATCTCCGGCAAGAAATGTCCCCAGGACCATAGGTTTTGTGCCAAAAACGGCCTCGATCTCAGCATTAGTCGGAGGAAATTTTGAATTTGCAGAATTTACTCGAAGTTTTCCTGAAGTTTTTGTATATAAATACATAATTACAAGTTACAGTTTGGCATGAGCAATATTTCTGCGTAAACCTTTTTCAAAAGATCGAATGAAGGCGTGTCTCTCATCTTCTGATCCATAAATATTTGATCCGTCGACGAAGGACGTCAACATATTGACCTGCTCTCGGATTCCCGTTTCGGCTAGAAAATTAATGACTTATTGAAATCAATTTCATAAAATAATATATTTATTAGGAGAAAAGCCATGCTTTGTAACTGCGTAAATTTTGTAAAGTTATTTTGCCGATAAACTTGTGTAGAAATCTTAGAGAGGTATTAAATGATACTTGCATATTTGTTGAATTGTGTACCAAATTACAAGATTTACGAAGCGTAAAAGACTGACGTGAATGAGTTGTTTGATCATACTCGGGAAACAAAATGCTGTCGACCTCGTGAAATCCATGCATCTTTGAGGTTCACGTAAATTCGAGTAAAACGAGTCGTTTGCATAGATATTGATTGGCCAGCAGTCAAGATGTTGCATTCCGTGACAGCAACGTTTATCTATGTAAAGTACACATTACCTCTCATTACCAATTTTTTCGAGAGACTAAGAGACTCCATTTTTGGCACAACTAGTTTTAATACAGAATCTGCAACAAACCTCCCTCTGCCACAAGCGACAGGTCATGGTCCAGAAATTGCCCAAATTGTGGCAGCATGTTTGTAATCCTGGCATCCGGTTTGATCAAGTCTGGATGAATCGTTGCACTGACAAGACGCGCGTTGGGCAGTGTTGTCGGTACTTTTACACCGCGTTGTCCATTGTATCCTGAGGTTCACAATTACTTATCAAGTTAGTCACATGGGGGGGGAAGGAAATACATGTGAAATTCAGCACTACTACATTACCAGATTGTAGCATAAGCTTGATTCTATCAAGTTTATACTAGTTTGAGTTTTTAAATTACACTTGTTCCTTAGTTCTCGGACAATGATGACAGTTAATTATTTGTAGCAATTTTACTTTACTAACCAGTACTAAAATTAATAATAATTTCTTGAAAATGTTAATAAATCAGAAAATTTTGACTTCCTTGTCTGTTTGATAACGGTTATGTATGTAAAATGTAATTCGGGATTTAACGTATTAATTGAATAATTTGACTTTTTAACGGTACGAAATATTCCCAGTCATATACAGAATTTACACGGTAATGGATTCGTTGTGGGGTTATTCAAATTATTGCAGGTCCCGTTAATTCGACGATATCGATAGTATTTGTTGCATTGTTGCAATTTTGCCTTGCAAAAATCTGGGCGTTGCTCCCTGAGCTCGGAAAGCGCTACGGATGGGTCGACTCCATCGCTGGGAATTGATTTGATTAGTTACTTATCATAGAAATCTTACAATTCACTCGAATGTCTGTTACTAGTAAAATTAAATAAATTTTGCAAAATTATATTTGAGCAACGATTCTGCATCGCAATATTTTGAATTTAATGTACACACTCTAAATAAAGTTGTGCCAATTTTACTTGACTAAATGAGAGGATGACAAAACCATTTGGACAATTATCAATTGTTGTGTAATCCTTTAGATATTTTACTCAAAGCACATTCACGGGTTCTACCGAGTCTAGTAAATTACATAATTGTCAGGAATAAATATGTACACCCTACCGAATTAGATTTGCATAAGTGAGAAGGTTCAGGTTACTCTGTTCCCCAATGAATTCTGTAAGCTCATTAAATTTTACGTATGTGTGGCCGGGAGGCGTTCCCCTCGATTGACGCTGTGTCGATAATTTGTCTTTCTCAATTGTGTCTCTCGCTTCCTAAATATATTGATTTGCAGACAAAAAGTGGGCAACCTTAGGTATAGATTTTACCAAAATTGTTACTTCTTACATGGATTGCATTGTTTAAAATTTCCTGAAATGTCGGCCCAGTCGCGAGAGAGTAGTTTTGAACTGCAAGACAGACGGTAGCAAGAAGTAGAAGCCTAAATATATATAATTAATATGCTATATACGATACTATATGATATATTGAGACAATTCACGTCAACCATCGGAAGTCTGTAACCACTTAACTTCGCAGGCTTACTTGGTTACGGACTTCCGATGGTTGACGTGAATTGCCTCATTAAATGATGAATAAATGATGACTATTCACGTCACATTTGAAAGCTGTAATTTTTAAAGATTAAAAATGATTAAAAAAGACTGATATTAAGATTAAATTGGACGAATTTTGAAAAGTATTCTTGTAAAATAATTTGAACGTAGATAATATCCAATTTTACAAAATTAGCAAAATTTACAATTTCAAAACTTGACGTAATTTGTCTACATGTATTTTGTCTAATACCGCATTGTTTTAAGTGAATGAAATAGAATTAGGTCAAGTGTTCAAACTGTTGAAAAAATGATTTAGAGTTTCGGTTTTATTCATGAATTTGCACGGCGTTATCTTTATTTCTTCAGTCGGCGTGGGTAGAAGGATTATGTCAAGTTTCATTTGAACACTTTCATGGAAATACAACGTTAACTGTTTTACAATGCCAAATAAAGTAAAAAGTGAGCATTACGGCATCGTGCAATAAAAATTAAGCATGCAAGGTACGAAGAATCTACATTACAAATTATGTGCGTAAATAGTAATAAACTTGAACTTGCGACGGTCAGTTGATTCACCGCATAAATTATCGGATTAATTCTTAATCAAGCGCATGGTTGAAAATCATACTTGCCACAACGATTTTAAACTACTGAAAATAGTTCTCAGACTACATTATGTAGTTAAACCCCTGTAAAAGACCTATTGCGCAACGTGTTTTACCATAATCCTGCACTTCGATTCTGGAAAAGTGTTAATTTATACATGCTCTTGCGTAGTATAAATATTTCTATAAAGTCCATAAATAATAAAATGATATTATCACATCTTCATAAGTTTAATTTTCCCAATTTAAAAAATTATATAATTTCGGTTAATCCCGTCACTCCGTGCACCGTTTCGGTGAACAGCAGAAAGAATGAAAGAATTAAATAAAATTTGTTGCGTAACTTTCGCTCTTTATGTAAATTAGTATAGATAATAAATGTGCTTTACATACATTTTATTGCACCTTTGTAATTATGTGTGTCGTGAATTTATTAGCTACTGAGCGGAACGGAGTGAATACAATGGTCTGTGATCGTTTTTGTCCGTCTGTCCGTCTGTAATCAGAATATCTTCAGAACGAGTCAACATAATCAAACCCCGTTTTCGCCATTTTGATTTTTAGTTATCGATCGAGTTCGCTAATGGGACCAATCGGGTCACCCCCACCGCGCCAGGAGGAGTGGTCCAAAATTAAATTTAACTTAATTTTCACATGGGATATAATTTTAAAAGAAATTTCGCCACGAATTCAACGCCGTCAAGATTTGTGACCTCCAACTAACCCATGACTGTGTAAACAAGGTCAAAGGTCACAAATATTAATTTTCTGTTTTGGCGGTTTTAGACCTATGTTGGAATTTTTATAGCCGATCACCTCATTTGCATATTTTGACGCATTCGCGAGAGGCATATAGTTTATTCGACATAGCAAGTAATAGGAAGCCCGTATTGCCTAAAATGAGCACATTTTCGTGAGATTTATCTGTGTGTCACCCGTGACACGCAGATAAATGCGAGGATATTAGTTTGGGGAGGGGATTTCAGAAATCAACATCATTTCGATTAGTTTTGAAGTTATCAATGCTATCTTATCTGATATCTTAACTATAATGCATTTATCTGTGTACTTGGTGTAGCAAAAATATTAGCAAACCTGTCTCAAAAACTTGGTAGACTTTCGCAAAAATTGTCGTATTCAATTATTGGCAATGAATGCATATTGTATAAGGTTAGTCACAGTACCTAACGCAATACTTACTAGTATAATTTTGACTTTGAGTAAATAATCAAGAGGCGTGTATTATGTTAAGTTTTCCTTAACCCTCAATAGAAAAAGTGGCTCAATTGAAAAGTGGCTCCATTGAAAAAGTGGTTCAATTGAAAAAGTCGCTCAATTGAAAAAGTCACAAGAACCACTTTTTCAATTGAGCCACTTTTTCAATTGAGCCACTTTTTCAATTGAGCCACTTTTTCAATTGAGCCACTTTTTCAATTGAGCCACTTTTTCAATTGAGCCACTTTTTCAATTGAGCACTTTTTCAATTGAGCACTTTTTCAATTGAGCCACTTTTTCAATTGAGCCACTTTTTCAATTGAGTCACTTTTTCAATTGAGCCACTTTTTCAATTGAGCCACTTTTTCAATTGAGCCACTTTTTCAATTGAGCCACTTTTTCAATTGAGCCACTTTTTCAATTGAGCCACTTTTTCAATTGAGCACTTTTTCAATTTTTTTCATTGACCACTTTTTTCATTTTTCAATTGAGCCACTTTTTCAATTGAGCCACTTTTTTTTCATTTTTCATTGAGCCTTTTTCAATTGAGCACTTTTTTTAGTTTTTTTCAATTGAGCCACTTTTTCAATTGAGCCACTTTTTCAATTGAGCCACTTTTTCAATTGAGCCAACTTTTTCAATCTGAGCCACTTTTTCAATTGAGCCACTTTTTCAATTGAGCACTTTTTCATTGATTTTTCAATTGAGCCATTTTTCATTAGCACTTTTTCTTGAGCCACTTTTTTCAATTGAGCACTTTTTCATTGAGCCACTTTTTCAATTGAGCACTTTTTTCAATTGAGCCACTTTTTCAATTGAGCCACTTTTTCAATTGAGCCACTTTTTCAATTGAGCCACTTTTTCTTTTTCAATTGAGCCACTTTTTCAATTGAGCCACTTTTTCAATTGAGCCACTTTTTCAATTGAGCCACTTTTTTCAATTGAGCCACTTTTTCAATTGAGCCACTTTTTCAATTGAGCCACTTTTTCAATTGAGCACTTTTTCAATTGAGCCACTTTTTCAATTGAGTCACTTTTTCAATTGAGCCACTTTTTCAATTGAGCCACTTTTTCAATTGAGCCACTTTTTCAATTGAGTCACTTTTTCAATTGAGCCACTTTTTCAATTGAGCCACTTTTTTCAATTGAGCCACTTTTTCAATTGAGCCACTTTTTCAATTGAGCCACTTTTTCAATTGACCTTTTTCAATTGAGTCCACTTTTT